TCATCCTGTACTCTCTTCCATCATGTACTCCCTGTCCCTTCCCCCTACCTTCTTTACTCACTTCCATCATGTTTTAATCCCCTGTCCATCCCCTCCCCCTTTAATCACCTCCATCATGTACTCCCTGTCCCTTTCCCCTACCTTCTTTACTCACTTCCATCATGTACTCCCCTGCCCCTTCAATCCACCTCTTTTACTCACTTCCATCATGTTATAGTCCCCTGTCTATCCCCCCCTTTACTCACCTACATCATGTACGCCCTTGCCTCTTCCATCCACCTCCTTTACTCACTTCCATCATGTACTCCCCTGCCCTTTCTATACACCTCCTTTACTCTCTTCCATCATGTACTCCCTGCCCCTTCAATCCACCTCCTTTACTCACTTCCATCATGTACTCCTTCTTTCCCTATTTCCTCCTTCAAACCCGTATTTCTCCACTTATCTTTCCCACAATGCATCTCTTCTTTTTCTAATTTATCTTTAAACTAACCGAGGAATCGTCTGTAGATAATCACCTAAAACTTTAAAATACAAGACGGAACCCTCCTCCNCTCTGTCCTATATGATTGAGCTATTCTCCAACAAATATGACTTGTCATTAATCGACCTATCGATCAATTATAGCTTTATTTACTCCTCCTCCTATATAGGGGGCAATTCCCCCCCCCCTTCTCCTATATAGGGGGCAAAACAACCACCCCACCCACTCCTCCTATATAGGGGGTAATCAACCAGCCCCTCCCCCCTCCCCACTATACCCTTTCGACTCAGTCTAAAAGGGACTGTAAACGTGTAACCAATGCCTTACTCCAATAGTTCTTTAAGTCTGTTTCAACCCAGAAAAGAAACACACTCTCTCTGTATTTTTAAGTATGTATCAATCCAGATACAACTTACTATGTATTCTTAAGTATGTATCAATCCAGATACAACTCTCTCTGATTCTTAAGTATGTATCAATCCAGATACAACTTACTATGTATTCTTAAGTATGTATCAATCCAGATACAACTCTCTCTGTATTCTTAAGTATGTATCAATCCAAATACAACTCTCTGTATTCTTAAGTATGTATCAATCCAGATACAACTCTCTCTGTATTCTTCAGTATGTATCAATCCAGATACAACTTTCTCTGTATTCTTAAGTATGTATCAATCCAGATACAACTCACTCTGTATTCTTAAGTATGTATCAATCCAAATACAACTCTCTGTATTCTTAAGTATGTATCAATCCAGATACAACTCTCTCTGATTCTTAAGTATGTATCAATCCAGATACAACTCTCTCAAACTCTATACTCTCTACCAAGAGCTAATACGTCTGACTGTAATAAAACAGAGTTCATAATCAACTGACTGTATTTGAGTATAAGGTACAGATAAAGATTAAAACTGACCAATAATACGGTCAGGTGAATATAATCTAATAATATATACGTAAAATATAATATATTAAAACGTAATATATCTACATTTAGGTTCAGGTTTCTAAGATAGGGGGGTTATTACTATATTCATCACAGACGTAATTTATAGTGATTCCCAAAGGTTTTTGAAATCTGATTTTTTTCAACTTTTCAATTGTGAGCATTATTGCACTGTATCATTTACTTCAATATTTCTATAGGTTCCCCCTTAAACCCTTTTTCTGATTAACGAAGTAGAAGATATCGTTGTGTTATTAGATTAAAAAGTTATAAGTTCTTATGAAGTTATCCATTGTTTTGTTGTAAAAATGTGCAAGCCAGAAAAGGGATATAAAGGGGTGGGAAAAAGGGAAAGGAAATGAAAGGGTATAAGGAAAGATAAGGAAAAGGGAAGGGAAATGAAAGGGTTAGGAAAGATAAGGGAAAGAGAAGGGAAATGAAAGGGTTAGGAAAGATAAGGGAAAGGGAAGGGAAATGGAAGGGTAAGGAAAGATAAGGGAAAGGGAAGGGAAATGGAAGGGTAATGAAAGATAAGGGAAAGAGAAGGGAAATGAAAGAGTAAGGAAAGATAAGGGAAAGGGAAGTAGATAAGGGATGATCGAAGAGCTCTGGATTAGAAGAATAAATTTAAAGTACATCACAGTGGTCCAAAGGTGACCAGCTCTCGAACAAACATTTATGAGCAGTTGAGAATGAACTTCTTTAAAAATTAATCTAAAACAAATTCTTTACAGAACTATAAGTTCTTTGACTGGGCTTCAAATTGTAGTTAATTAGTTAGGTAACATCATTGCAACACTTCAACATCGACCCAGTCTTGATGCAACTTTTCATAGCAGTCTGGATCTATGTGAGAGCAGATGCTCTTCAAGGTATCTGTGAACAAAGGTTTTGCAGATCATAGAGAACACAGTTCAAAGATATGACAGAGACATCAGAAACAGAAAAAATACACAGATCAAGCAAGCAACAGTAAATAAATATACAATAACAAAATAGACCTATTCACGCTTGACAGATGAAGAGCACGGGAAATGCCGTTTTACAGCAATATGTAAAAGTAAAAACAAAATTTTCTGTTAAATCTGTAAATGTATTTATCAATGGCGACAACCTGGACAAATAATAAGAAATAGGTCAAACAAGAAATATTTAAAATTATGACCGGTTCAATATTTAGTCCGAGTTGTTTGAAAAAAACATACGAGCTTGGAAACCCAGCTTTGCCTGGAAACTAAATTTTCTCTATAACAAGTAAGCCCATTAATCTTTTAGTCAAACTAATAACACTCCCCGTGATTCTATAGAGTTTTCTTGGCAAAATTTAAGGCAAATCGGTCAAGGAGTTCCTGATTATTATTGGACAAACAAACAGCTAGACAGACAGACATTACTACTTTATATTTATAACATGAATGAATCAAAATACTTAAAATATTCAAAAGAGTAAGATACAAAATGAGTTTTAAGTAAGACTAGAAACTCATCTTTTGATTTCACTATGTATAAATGAATGACTGTTCCTAGTAAATTACGTTGTACATTGTCAATATAGCTGAATGTGCCGATTAGTTCAATATGTAAATCATGTATTGCGGTTAACCCATTCAATGTACGTAACAATAATGCATACTGGTAGTGGCGTTGATAGATCACGAGATTGTATCCACGTGGTTCCCTGTTTTGATGAACAGGTTGACGATCGTCCCCTTTCATTTGGAATCGATCATTACGGGATTGTAGCTGTGCGCTGACATTGATAGTCAAGTGAATCTGATTTGTACCTGGATAGATACCTGTTCGGGAAACGGTTATGGAGTAGGGCGCTTACTACATGACGACAATTGTTACAAAATAGAAATAAAGGACCGTAGTTTTTGCCACAAACTCAAATTTTCTAATCCCTATAACTTTGCAACCGATGGCCTGGACCTTTAATATGGTTTGGTCTAACTAAATTTATAGTTTGAACTATTAAAGATCCACGACATTGGATTGCAAAGATATAGGGATTAGAAAATCAGAGTTTTTGTCAAAAACTCAGTTACTTTGCCCTCCTTACAGCAATATGTTGAATAATAAATTAATAATAGAAATATTTTTGCTAGCCTTTACCCTAAATGTAGGCTAAGTTAGCCTACATTTATGGTTAAGTCATGTTGAATGTTGAGGTTGCGTGATTTTAAAAGATGCGTTTTTAACAGGGGGGGGGGGTATTGAGGGGTGAGCAGAAGTTAGAACTTTCGTATTTTGAATCTCTGGTATAAACATACGATAGTAGTCATACCCTACAGCGCAGGAATAACTTGGATTAATCCCTGAGGGAACAAATACGATGAAAGATGGATCAAGAGAGAATAGAATATATTAGAGTGGAATTTACTAGAAAAAAAGTGTAAAACGGCCATTTTGTTGTACTGTTTCCTTATACTGCAGGTGTACTTCACGTATTTACGCTATATAACCTTTTGGGCCCTGGACCATCATTTTATGAAAAAATCTAAAATTAATGTTAAAAGAAAACCAAATTATGAGATAGTCTTGTTTCATTATTGACCAATGATCATTTCGCATAGACTCTATGCCTTTCACTTTACAAACGATGATTTTCCGTTATAACTATTAATCAAATAATGTTCTTTATTCACCTAATTCATTTTGTAAAGTTTATTTAACAGCTTTAAAAATTTCGAAATTGAAATGGATAGTCTAGGGAACATACTGTATTAATGTACTCTACTGCATACAATTTGTGAACATTTACATTGTTTGTGCACTTTGAACTCGCTTTCAGGCTGAAAGGAACTGACAAAATTCATACCGAGGGATTGTCTAAATTCCACTCTAATATATGTTCTATTCTCTTTGGATGGATCCCATATCAGGCTGTGACATTCGTCTTGTGTTTACATTACCGACCAGAGACAGTACACTGTAGTACAAAAGATTTGTACACCTCTGAAATAACTTTCCTTGCATTATAACCTTGGAACCAAGTAACTTGACAGGCTGATTCAGGATTTTTCCATGTCCTATGGATGTAAAGTAAAAGGCGGTATAGGTAGTCGACAATTTAGCAACCCAGCTTAAATTCTTTACTTGGTCCTGGATAATGTATTTGAAGAATTTCTCATTGTTGAATTTTAGTTTTCAAGTAAAACAAGAAAATATAAGATTAAATTAAAAACAGAGAAGAGTTCTCATTACTTCATTATCTAATTTCTATACCTTGAACAAAAAACTTTAAGAGTTAAAACAAAAAATTTTCAAATCAGTTGATAATTATCAAGAGGCCGATTTGCCTCCTTTTTTAGTAACAATTTATATATGTTTTTTATTGTTTTTTTTCGTTCATTCTTCGCGGGTTTTCTGTTTACACCGAAGTATGATTTTCAAATATTATATCAAAATTTTTAACATCGTTCAGTTTCGGTCAGATATAAGATACCGCAAAAAAAGTGGCTTAATCGGTTCAGCCATTTTGAAGTGTATTGATAAGACTAGAAAAACAACAAATTTTGCATATTTTATAAGAAGAATTTTGTGGATTTTCAAAATTTTCAAAAATCGACGTTTATTGGATACAAACAAACATACTGACAGATAAGCAAAGTACATATTCAGATCATACTTTAACATATTACTTTGCTTTTAGGAAGCTTCGTGCCCATCTTTTATTGTGAACATGATCTCTTTGTATATATTAAAAAACAAAAACAAACAAAATTTTTCAAAAATTGAATTTTGTTTCAGGCAAATTTTTGAAAATTCGATCACTCATAAACCTTCCCTGGTGTCACGCGAGGTCCCACAAAAAAATTTAGGCCGTATCGGTTCAGCCGTTTTGACGTTTAATGGATATAAATAGACAAAAAACACGAGGACAAGCAAAGTATTAATATAGATTTGGCTTTCAGGTCGCTTCTTACTCTCTGTACCTAGTAACCATTTAATTTTTTAACAACAGTACATATTCTCAGTTGCTTTTATCTCGTGTTAAACGTGACCATTTTAATCATTCTCAAATTTTGCCCGATTTTTCTATAAAAATTGACGATTTTTCAAAAGCAATGATAGTTGACATTGTTTTCAAGACAAAATTGTTTAATTTTGTTACAAACATACACAAACAAATAACATACAAACATCCTCATGTACAGCATGTGAACCTAAATGTACATGTACTCATGTACATTTTTTCTGAATTAAACAAAGTAAGATTAAATAACTTTTAAATATATTTAAAAATCATGCTAAATCATTAAGGTTGCTGTAGGACAAAAAATTAATTATTTAAAATGATATATAGACGAAATTACGATATTCATTAATCATGTTAATAAATGATTTTTACTTTACAAAACTGAAAAGAATTTTCGTTAAGAAACAATTAAACAAAAAATTATAATAATGATTTTAACTTTAATGAGATTTAATAAGAATTTGAGATGTTTATCAAAATACAAGATTCTACCTGAAACAACAGATGTAAGACCAAAATGAAAAATGGATATTTTTTATAAATCGTTTTGGTTGATCTTTGTGAATTCTCATTTGTCAGGGTAAAGTGTTACACAGTGTAATAAAATCAAGTTTATCAAGATTGACATCTCAACTTCTGGAGAGAAAAAAGGTCTGAAAAGTTTATACATCGAATATAAAACCAATCCGAATATAAAAAAAATAGAACGTTGACATCAAGATTGGGTTTATTTCACAAAAATTCATGTTAAACTACAAAGGATAGGAATTCAGAAACGACTGTACAGAAATTATTCATATTGTATTTTACTAATCAAAACTTTAAAAGTTTTCCTTTTCGATGCAAAGGAAATGAGTCTTTGTCACAAACTCGAATTTTCTAATCCCTTAATCTTTTGAATCTGATGATGTAAAACTTTGATATTTTAAACTTATTATCTGATGTTACAGAAATTATAGTTTGAAATATCTTAGGTGTTTGACCATGGGTTGCAAAGATTTTGGGATTAGAAAACCAGAGTTTGTGGAAAAGACTCAATTCCTTTGTCCTATTCTTGATCAAATCAAAACGGAAACTATTATTCAGGTTTTATCCTATATGGGGTATTCTGTCATGGGCAGCCGTAGTATTTTTGAATTTCCGAGCCGGAACAACCTTTCCGGTCCCAGTTTGTACTGTACCGCCCGGACACTGGGTAAATAAAGCAGACACTCAATAGGACTAGCCGGTGCAACAAGGTTGACGCGGTCAGACTTTAGGTTGAATTTACTTTTACTGAAGGGTCAGAGGTGCGTTCTGTATCTCCCTGTTTTTCCAATTATTTTATTTTGCTTTCTTTCTGTTCTGCAGAACATAGTTCTCAACCCACTTCAGCATAGTCTCTATTCCCTGAAAATAAAGAATATATATTTTAATTTTCTACTGATGTTGAAATGGGGGGGGAGGAGGAGTGGTTACCGACATGAATGTAATAGAAAATAATAGTCAATATTTAATTACTAGCTGGAGGGCCCGGCGTTGCCCGTGAAAAAAAAAATTTGAAAAAAAGTTTTTAAAATAAAAAAATGTCGATTTTTTTATCCTATAACACCCCCCGGCCACCCATGAGTGTCCACAAAAAATTTTAGCCCGACGGGTCAAGCCGTTTGGCCGGCTATAAGCAACATATATTTATATACGAATGTCTTGTTTTATTATATAAAAAATTGTAGTGAATTCGTATAGAAATAATAAGATGAATTGATATTTAAAAAATTGTTGTCTAATGTGTGGATCACATAGTTTCAGCCTGCTTATAAGCAGTCTCATCAATTTTTAAGACAGGGCCGACTTTTGAAGTGTCGCAACGCCTTGTATTTAGATTTTACCGCTCTAACTACGTGTAATTTTAGCGCTATAGACTGCACTATAGAGCACTTGTTGTAAGCTTTGGTTTCTAAGAAGTAATTGGCAAAATTGTCATTAATTATAGCTTAAGAGCATGAGACCTTTAAATCACAGTGTGATATTGAAGTGTAAACATTATATTTAAATTTCAGTACAATGGAATTACACAAAGTCACATGTTCAACGTGAGCCCCTATATTGTCTCATTTCTAATAGTACAAGAGATAAAGCTTCTCTACTATATCTTCCTGTAAAGCCAACAAAAACCATTGGAATCTCACTGATTATGATATTTTATGTAATTATTATGTAGTAATGAAATCAGGGCAACCCCTATATATATTCAATGTTTATATAAAATAAATAGTTTATTAAGAGCATTTTAGATTATTCTTTCTGACTTGAGTTACTGTCTGTTGTGAGTTGTTCTGAGAGATAGAACACCGTCAATCTTAGGAATATTCAATTTTAAACAAACTATAAACTTTTCTCAAAATATAGAATATTTTAATTCTGAAACTCAGGAAATATTAAGTTATTAAATAATAAATATTTATGTATGATAAAAAATGTGCATGATGGGGGGGAGGGGAGTGTAAGTATAAAATCTAATCCTAACTTCACAATGTCATATCTCAGCCCTGACATAAGTGGTTAAAAAGTCAATCCGGGACTATATAGTGCAGGGCACGGGCAGCCGTAGTACATTTGAATTTCCGAGCCGGGTCAACTTTTCCAGTCTCAGTTTGTACTGTACCTAGCTCTATGAACAGGACTAGCCGGTGCAACAAGGTTGACGCGGTCAGACTTTATGCTTCATTTAGGTTGAATTTACTTTTACTAAAGGGGCAGAGGTGCGTGAGGGTCAAGATTTGAAACCTACTTTATTGTTCAGGTTCAAAACTAACCGGAGCTGGGAACTAGAATGGTGGATATCAGGTTTAATGATTAATCCTCTCTTTTTGCTAATCTCAAGGTTAACATAATCTGCAGATTAAATATTTAGATCAACAAATATGATTCTAGGAACGCCAGATTTGTTCGTTTTCTTGACTGGAAGGGCCTTCACTTAATTTCTCACCCATTTATTTGTTAATTCATTAGTTAAAATTGGTTAAAAAAGAATCTCAAACGTATTATTAAATATTTTTTTCACCGATTAATTTACAAAATTGCCGACAACAAATTCTTTATTTGTTAGAAATTGCGGATTTCTCATGGGATAGAATTTATTTTCAAGGCTGTCATTGGTCAAAACAATTTACGAACTTTATTTCTGCACTCTCATTGGAGAAAACAATGTACGGATATCCAAAGAGAGAGAAAAAGAGTGGATTAGGGACTAAAATTAAAAGTTTCCACAGTGGATGTTCGGATTAAGTAGTTGGGATTAAAGGTTATCCATTCTAAAGTTCCCAGCTCGGGACAGTAAATGAATTGGGATGAGGATTCATTACTAAATAAAGATAAAAGATATTTTTTTGAAAATTTGTTTATTTGCAGGGATTGGTTTTTAAAGCTTCATTCACATTCAAAAATTGAGTTCAGTGAAGAAAACTGTCAATATTAAACAGTAGAAACATTAAGAGATCTTAATTTAAAGTTTTAACAAAATATTCTCTGAATTGTTATTGTAACAAATGTTTTATTTTTCATCATAATTTGTTAAACTTTTTTATACTTACATTAATACTTTATTTCAAATTGATTAAATTGTAATGGCTGTCAAATCTATTTGTTAAATAAAATTAAAAAGTTCGAACATATATTAAAAAAAAATATTTCTTCACATTGTCAAATACTTCTTAAAAATATTTGCTTTGCAAAAATAAACTTTTCCTCTATGTAGTTGGAATTTGTCCCCCCCTCGGAACACCACCACCGCCTGTCTTCCCCCCCCCCCCTCGCAACACCACCTCCGTCAGTCTCCCCCCAATCCCCATAACCACATAGAGAAAGTAGACAAAAATGTGATAAAAATGTAATTATTCTGTTTCACTTCCAGCATCCTCTGCAGAAGAATATTTGAGGAATATGATTATAATTCAAATTCCATAATTCTCTAAAAAGAAGAATTCAAAATAAATGGGATGAAATGCAAAATAAAAATAGAAAAAAAAGAAAATAAATTAAACAAAGCTAAGAAAATATGATTAAATTATTAAAGAAAATGAAAAAAAAAATTAAACAAAACCAAGAAAAAAAAATTTCAAATTTTTTTTTACAAAATTAAAAAAAAGTTAAACAAAACTAAAGAAAATACGATAAAAGTGTTAAAAGAAAATTTTAAAAAATCAAACAAAACTGAGAAATACGACAAAATTCTTTTAAAAAATTTTAAAATGAAGAAAAAATAAGAAAATACGATCAAATTATTAAAGAAACTGAATGGACAAAATTTAAATAAAAAAAAAACTAACCTGTGTATTAGGTAGTCTATGGTCGGCTACAGTTTGAACTAAACCAGAATTTACCACACGAAAGGAATACGCCATACCCTTAAATAGGAATTATTTTTACATTATTTAATTTAATTTTCTGTTTTCAGTAAAAACGGGGAAAAATGTTGTGAAAAATTTGTTGAGTCTTTGTCACAAACTCTGATTTCTTTTCAACCCAATACCGCGTAACCTCAGATATTTCAAAAAAGAAATTTTGTTAGATCAAATAATTTAAGTTTGAGGTTTATTCAATCAGGTAGCAAAAATTTAGGGATTAGAAAATTCAAGTTTGTAGCAAAGACTCAAATCATGTTGGCTTGGGCCTTTCAAAGTTGGATTAAAATATCCTTCCAAAACAATTTCGATTTTTCTAAATTTTGAAAAGGAAAAATGAGTCTTTGATTTTCCATAGAGTCTATATCTTTGCAAATCAAAATCAGATCAAATAATATAATTTGAAATATCCCAAGTGGAAATCATCAGGCTGTAAAAAAAAATTTGAGTTGGTGGCAAAGACTCAATTCTTTTACCACAGAAATTGAGATTGTGATTAAAAATTAGCTGGTAAAAATTCTAATCGCTCACGGCTTAGTTGTTATCAATTCTGAATCGCATTATCAATTCTGATTGCTAACGATAAAAATTCCCAATGGCCCCCTCTTAACCTTTGTTAGATCCAAACAGGCGGAGTAATCCTTGTTTTTCAATTTAAAAATTGATTTTTTTTTAAAAGCTGTTCTCAAAAAAAGTAACTCGTTGATTTATGCAGTAAAAGGAAAGGAAAAAATAACGTGAATGATATATTTTATGAAAGACAGAAAAAGGAAAACATTTCTATTATTTCGGTAAAGGGCTAGAAGTAGAAGTAGATATTTCCATTTAATGTTAGCGTCGATTAAAGGATTCAACTCTGATTGGATAATGAGATAGATAGAAAGATAGATGTTACTGACATACCAAACCATTGGTACAGAATAGACAACAAACACATGATTGAAACCTGATTGGATCAGGTGCTAATGAACTCGGCATACAGGAGTAGCTAAAGGTTTAACGCTTAAAATTGCGTTCATTTGAAACATGCCCTATATGCCCTTTATATACTTTTTCTATTTAAGAACATTCCCGTGGTTCTCCCGAGTTCCCTACTTAAAATTTGAGGCAAATTGGTCAAGGGGTTTCTGAGTTATGATCGGACATACAAATAAACAATCAGACAAATCGAAATCACAGCAATGTATTTATACACTAGCTTGGGAACCCAGCGCTGCCAAGGTTACAAAAAAGTGACTCCCGCCGTTTACCCGCACTTGAACGATTTTACCAGGAAAAGTTCGTTATTAAGGTCGATCCACTCATCTTGGAAACTCAAAACCGAGTTCCCCAATCAAAATTTGAAGCAAATCGGTCGATGGGTTCCTGAATCCTGAGTTATGATCGGAAAAACAAACAGACAGACAAACAGAGATTATAACTTTATATAAATATATTCATTAAGTATATACCTTGAGAGCCTGCATTGCATCTTCATCTGTTAGGTCGTCTCCAGCATAGATGATTCGGAGTCGGTCAGACCAGTTTACACCAAATGCACTGCGGAGTATGTAGATGGCTGCATTCCCCTAATTAGTTCAAAATTTCAAATTTCTAAATTACGAGCATTCCTTTTTAAATAACAAAAATTCTTTTCTAAATTTCGAATTTTCTTTTCTAAATTACGAACATTGTTTTCTAAATTATGAAAATTGTTTTCTAAATTACGAACATGGTTATAGCTTGCTAAATTAGTTATTACTTTCCTTGACTGTATTTTGTTCCACTTATTACTTTCCTTGACTGTATTTTGTTCCACTTATTACTTTCCTTGACTTGTACGGAATTATTCTAAATACTTTCGAATTCTAAGAAAGAGACTTGTTACAAATTGAAAAACAATGAGAAGCGTGAATTTTGGAAACAAAAGCTGATAAATTATATTTATATTATTCAGCCAAGAAAAATGACAGATGTCAAAATTTTTATTTTGTGAATCTAGGGAAGAGACATTGATCTCATGCATCTTATGCAGACCTTTCGATATTCTGGGTTGGCCATACCCTGCCAGGATAACTTTAATTATGGAGTTTGGCATTTATCCTCAGATTTAAAAGTGCTCACATTGGATATCAAGATCATCCATTTAAGGGCAATAATATATTAGAGGAAAGCTCTTGCTTCAGATTTAATCTTGAATATTTTATCTGAAAAAAATATAGTTTTCCTTTAAAACATTTGTCAAGAAAACTTAATTAATTGGAAAACAATATAATTTCCCAAAACTAATCATTAAGAAAGAGGAAACGAATTGTAAAGATGCAGGAAACTGTAAATGTAAATAAAAGATTTAAAGTTAAGAAATATTTATTAAAATTGCCAAGTATCTCGGACAAAAAATAACAAAGGTTTTGGTATTTTAGAAGATTTTCTATACCTCAAGAATTTAATTTAGTTTATTATAAAAGAACAAATTCCTTAGAAAACACAGCCTTATGAGACACAAGGGATTCAGGGATTGAAAGAGATATATAGAAGGGGATACAGAGGATACAGGGAATACAGGGGATACAGGGAATACAGGGGATTCAGGGATTGAAAGAGATATATAGAAGGGGATAAGAGTGGATACAGGGGATACAGGGATACAGGGGATACAGGGAATACCGGAAATACCGGGGATACAGGGGATACAGGGGATACTGGGGATACAGGGGATACAGGAGATACAGGGGATACAGGAGATACAGGAGATACAGGAGATACAGGAGATACAGGGGATACAGGGGATACTGGGGATACAGGGGATACAGGGCATACAGGGGATACAGGGGATACAGAATTGTTAGAATTTACCTTATTCCACTGTACTGGGGGTTTTGCCTCTGTAACTAGACCTCCATCACTCATACCAATTCTAAACACAATACAGTACAGTACATTACAGTACAGTACAGTACAGTACAGTACAGTACAGTACAGTACAGTTCAGTAAAGTACAGTACAGTACAGTACATTACAGTACAGTACATTACAGTACAGTACAGTACAGTACAGTACAGTACAGTACAGTACAGTACAGTACAGTACAGTACAATAAATTACAGTACAGTACAGTACATTACAGTACAGTAAATTACATTACAGTATAGTACAGTACAGTACAGTACAGTACAGTACAGAATGAGGTGTGAAAAAAAATCTTCAGATAATGTCGTCTGTTGATGTTGTTTTACTATTATTTTACTTCGTGATTTTTTGCACATTTTCTTTAGAAATTTTTGCAAAGTAACTGTTAGAAGAGTAAAATTCATTATCACGTTGTATATCAGCCAAGAATGCTCTTATTCTCTAATTAATGATTCAGGAAATTGATAATTAAAAATTTAAGAATTTTAGAGAAAAATAAGCTTGCTTGCAAGATCATGTGACTGAAATTGGTTATAAAATTGAAAAATTTATAAAAGTTGTATTTCTACTGTTATTTAATGTTTAGGTTAGTTTTGTCCATATTCTAAACATTTGCTTTTCTTCCATTTTGCCCAAGTTTGACCCTGACAAAAAACGCATAAAAAATATAAATATTACAAAGTTTAATAAAAACAAACTATTACAGACTACAGGTTGGTAATGATGTAAGTTTTATTAAAAGCTTTAATAATCGAACCAAAACCATTAAAATCACTATTTGTACAGTAATAACCAGAAAACCGTGGAATTGAAAGACGACATAAAAGCAATAAATATGTCTATACGATGTTGTTACCAATCAAACACCTTCACTGAAAACTTATAAATCTCTTATTAATTAAAATGGGTCTGTTTACAAATTGCTGTTTATCATGTTGATTGGACTATTTAATATGTCTTAAAGTCTTCTTCCAATTTCACAGTTTTCTGGTTCTCAGTGTACCAGAGAAGAAACGATTCTAATTTCGGAGATTGAAACCGCCTGATAACCCTTCCCCTCTAGTGTCTTAGTTAAAACTTTCATATAAACTTTTAATGAAAAGTGTTTCATTTTGATAATTCATACATTGTTTTCCTGCGAACACACAATTGAAAATAATTAGTTCTTACAATTATAAACCTGAGCTGAAAACTTTAGAATTGGATACCCTTAATATCCTGATAACTTAATCTGAATATCCACTGTGGAAACTTTTAATTTTCTTTTTAATCCACTCTTGTTGGATATCACATTTCCTACTACATATAATAAAGATACGTTTGATTACAAATACAGCGACGGTGCTATATCGATTGGACTAATATCCGATTGAACTAAGTCAGCTTTTAGAGCATTGAAACAAATAAAAATGATTTATATTGCTTTATTTCTTGAATTTAAGTTAATGTTTAAAAAAGAATGCCGCGTTGATAAAAGACGACATTAAGAAATACCTGAACCCTGCATCCGTCATCAGCTGACGAGCTCGGCTTAAGGTTCTCTCCTTTAACTCAGGATCTAGACAAACAGTTTAAAAACAAATTGATTAATCGCCACAAACTAGAATTTTCCAGCAAAATATATCTTTGCTACCTGATGATGTAAATCTTTTATATTTCAAGTAATTTGATCAATTGATCCAACAGATTTCAAAGTTTGTAAAATCTAAGGTCTGCTACTAAGATTCAATGGGTCCATAAAATTCCATTCATGATCCCTAATGGAATCGCCAATCGGGGTTGAAAGTACATTTAGGGGCATGAAAGTACACTTTCTGTGTCATTTAGAATTATGTACTGCATTTGGGGTGTTAAAGATACATGCTGATGTATGGAATTTTTTCTACAACTGGACAATGGACAGTGGACATTATACTTTTAATTGTTTACAATAACAATTTGCACAATTCATTTCTGTTAACCAATCAACATTTGGGATCGTATTGAATGGAATTATATGCACGCCTCTGATTACTTTTGTGGTTTTCGCCCTTTGAACTTTGGACTATTCAAGTATTTTGAAAAAGAATTGAGCTCTCACACTGGTTACACGGGCAGCCGGTCCCAGTTTGTACTGTATCGCCCAGACATTGGGCAAATAAGGGAGACACTCAATAGGACTAGCCGGGTTGACGCGGTCAGACTTCAGATTGAATTTACTTTTACTAAAGGGTCAGAGGTGCGTGCACTGGTAACACTATAATGACGGGCATGCATCTTATGAATCCTTTTTCAAGCAATGATTTCAGAGAACGTTTAATGCGTGCAGAGACATATTTATGACGTGATAACCAGAGATGTTTTAGAACCAAATTCAGGAATTGTAGTGGATGCTTGACAAATTACAAATTAAAATCGATTTTTCTTAGAAATTAAGCTACGACGGTGTTTCAAATCTCTAAATTTAAATATCATTTTAAAATTTTAATTCTTTACAAATATGACATCGTGACATCTGAAAAAATGTTAAATTATTTTAATAGAATTATTTTACCGATGGAATCTCGTTCTTTCCAGGCTTCATGATGAAATGCAAGAACTACTCCTTTATTTTCGACCCAAGCACCAGAAACACAGCACTCTTGCTGAAATAATCGTTGACTTTCTAAAATGTAAAAAAGACCTTTCGTCGAAATAATAATGTTTTGTAATATTGTTAAATTGATATCGTAAAGTGTGCTGAAAGTTTAGTTTAAAAATGGTGAAAGAACTGAATTGCATATTTCTCTCTAAAACTGAAATGTGCAGAATTAGTGGAAAACTGTACAAAATTGTTAAGCATTGACAATATTTCTAATAGAATTATAAGTTTTAAAAACTCTGGAATTGCTGGTTAACGTTTAAAACGAAAACTTTTCTGAAAAACTAAAGTTTCCAATTAGAGAGATTAAAGTTCAATTTTATAAATTAGAGAAATATAACTATTTTTAGAGAAGTGTTCAAGGAATGGAAAGAAAACAAATATAATACATATTAGTTTTTGTTTTATTTTGATTTGATAAATACGAATTTTCTAAATTTTTGCCAAATTTTAGGACAAATTGATCTTAAAGGTGTTTATTTCATCAGATCTACGTAAAAAAAATATTACGGGTAAATAAAATTCAGAAATATTTTTGAAAAATTGAAGAAAAAAATTCCGCGAAAAAATTTATTTTCTTTAAAAATTTATGCAAAAAACTTGTTCTAATGTTTTTTAAAATTTCTTAAAAATTCATAAAAAGATTGAAAGAGAAATGACATAAATAAGAAATGATCTGCAATTGCAATGCAAGCATTATTTTATATCTTTACTGAGCTAGAGCATGTTAATATGGCTTCTTTTTTTCAACAGATCAATGGGCATTTTTGATTACAAAAGATTTTTTAGATGAAATTTTTCAAAAATTCATCAATATGCATTTCTGAAATGTTTGAAAACAATAGAATAAACATGCTTTTGATAAAAATTTGTCTTTTCAAAAAAAGAAATTTATTTCCAAAAAATGTGAAACCTGAAGATGTTGCAGCAGCCATCTTGCTTTCTCCTCAACTTCAGCAGGCATTGGGATCATAAACTTAATATGTTTAATATAATTTGGGATTACAAACTTAATATGTTTAATATAATTAGGGATTATAAACTTAATATGTTTAATATAATTTGGGATCATAAAATTAATATGTTTAATATAATTTGGGATCATAAAATTAATATAATTTGGGATCATAAAATTAATATGTTTAATATAATTTGGGATCATAAAATTAATATGTTTAATATAATTTGGGATCATAAAATTAATATGCTTAATACAATTCAGATTAATAAGTAAGCAACGTAGTTAATACTAAAGTTTATACCCTACGATGTTAGGAACTTTCCCAAAGGTTTTACGAAGTGGCAACTTCCAAATCGTGCAATTTCCCTAACGGAAGCTTCACAAGTCTATCCTTCCCGCAACGCTCGGCCCCCTAGCCTGTTCTTACAGCAGTGCTCTGCATATTAGCCCATTCTTGCAACAATGCTCTGCATTTTAGCCCATTCTTGCAACAGTGCTCTGCATATAAGCCCATTCTTGCAACAGTGCTCTGCATATTAGCCCATTCTTGCAACAGTGCTCGGCCTCCATTCCAGCCTCTGGCGCCTCAGAAAGCCTAACCAAACCTTTGGGAAGTTGCTATTTGGAAAATTGCACATTTGGGAGGTTGCCACTTGGAAAATGGTCACTTGGAGAAATACCTTTTAGAAAATACCTAATACCTGCACCCCCCCCCCCCCCCCCTCAAAGTGAATCAATACTTTTTTCACTTAAGTGCCCCCCCCCCTGACCCCAAGGGACAAAGTCTTAAAGTCTTTTTTGTGTAAAGTCTATATAAGTCACGTAGAGGAATTTTCAACAATAAAAATCAGAAAATTACTGAAATCTGACATTTACGTTTTAACAGGAATTGAGTCTTTGCCAAAAACTCAGCTTTTGTTAATCCTTACATCTTTGCAACCCGTTATCGTAAACCTTTAAAATTTCTGTTTAAGAAAATGTTCTGAGTTTGAAATTTTAAAGTTTTAAAGTTGCAAAGGTATAGGAAATTGAAAATTCAAGTTTGTGGCAAAAACTCAATTCCTTTGACGCATCATCAATGTGAAAAAAACAGTGAGAACTAGAACACAATTGAACATTTTTTGTTCTTATTATGCGTTGATTATAAAAAAGTTAGCAATTTTTAACTGAACTTTTGCTAAAACATTGCAAACTTGCAACTTATAAAAACCTTCTTAAGTAAGAGGAAGACTGAAGACGACATTTATTACAAAGTTTTGTAGTTCTGTGTACATATTTACCTTTGACCCATCGGGATGAACGATATCTATTCCATGATTTCCAGCATAAGTTATATTCTTGATGGAGACCTTTGTTTTTATATCAGGTATACTACGCCCTAGAGCAATAGAATGGCAGAGATTACATAACTGGGTTGTCCAGACAAGTTTTTTTTTTTTACAAGATTCTGCATTGTTTCTGCTTCCTTTGGCAAATTTGATTTTCGCAAAAGTTTTCCTTTCTTTGAAACCCCCCTAGCTGCATAATTGGTGGTTTTTACTCCATAAAATATATATTCACCTGTTATAATTGAAACAAACACCTCAGGCATTTCTGATAAACGTTCAAGCACCTAATTAAAACAATTCTTAAAAGGAAAGGTAATTTCAATTTAAAGAGAGGCATTTCCCATCACAACAGTACCTTTTAAACCTTTATAATATCAGCAATGCAGAGTTTTTTTTCAATTCTGAGAATTAACTGATTTGTTTCTGTAAGCAGAAATCCGCAAGTCACTTTTTTTAAAGAAAAAGCACAAGTGAAAATGATAAAATTTAAAGAAAGAAAAATGCTCATTCTTGATCTGACAAAGGTTTTAACCCTATCAAGATTGGGCTATTTTTGTCCGATATAGATTGATATCGCTCTTATAGTTGAGATAAGGGAGTGTGCTACATGACCACAGTTCAACTTTCTAAGGCCTGCTAATAAAAAAAAATCTATCTTTAATGGTTAGAATGCAAGGAAGGACTTTTGACAAATTATTTTCAAACAATGACCCGCCGTTTGACTGTCCTCAACCCTACCCTTTGCTTAAAGAAAAAATTTTGATATTGAAAAAGTGAAGAAGTGTACTAATGTCAGCCGTTTTTAAGGTATTTCGAAAAAACACAGCCCCCCCCCCCCCATCTAGATAAGCATCGTTTTTTAAACTGGACAATACAAAAATCTCAGAAATATTGGGAGGTGTAATTCTAAAATATGTAGATAACTAAATATATTTGGGATAATTAATTAAGAAAATAGGAAATACATGGTTTTCCTCAAAATATTCGGGTTTAAGAAATAATAAAACAGCTCTTAGCTTGAAAATTATGCTAATTAATCTTGGAAGAAAACCTATGGCAAACTTAGATTCGACGAAACTGTAATAAAAGGGATTGTAAGTGTTATTTCAAGTGACCCTCCCTGCAAAGATGGCAATGCCCGATTCACAACGGTACCCTTAAAACCTTCGACTGATCGATGTTGTTGAACGTATTCTCATTAAACTTAAAGTTAGTGTTCGCGAAAATTAAAAGAGGGTATAGACTTACGTCGAAAGATATTCTAAGGTAATTGCTACTAATCATACTTCTGTCATGTTTCAAAAAAATTGTTAAAAACGACTCATACCAAAGAACGTAGCGTTCATACAAATTCAGAAAGTTGCAATATTCAACTCATATCGTAAAAAATCAAGTTAATTCAAACAAATCATTAAGATATTACAATCTATAATCATCGATTTTTTCGACGCATTCGTATATAATTGATTTTTCAAAAAAATTGGGTTTTTTATGATCCGAGAGTTACTCTTGAAAACATTCATTCCTGTTTTGAGGATTTTTGATAATGCATATTTTCAAGGAATGTTCGAAAATCCAACTGTAAAAACAATTTAAAAAAATGCAAATTCCATATACTGTATTAGACGTTAAAGACTTTTTGCAGTTTATTTAGTTTTAAAAATTCTTTTACACAAATTATGAATATTTTGCTTTTCATTTTCTTTGGTATCAAAAAACTTATTATGGAAGAAGAAATTTTAAACCATTCACCAGCTGTCATGTTTCGTGAGACACTGTACTCTGGATGTGCTGCAATGTACTGAAAATGTCGTCTTTATAGCAATAGACACTCAAATCCTCACAGTTTTTTAATAATCTACACTCTACAGCTTCATAATTTCTATAATTGATTCTTCTAATTATACTGCTATCACCTCCTTGGTCTGTTTTGGTAGAATAGTTAGATCTGGATGGGAACCATGGGGAGCCAGTGTTCCATCATAATCCAGGAGCAAACATAGCTTCTCCCAACCTTGATACATTATATAGAGTGGATATATAGGAACCATGAGGAGCCAGTGTTCCATCATAATCCAGGAGCAAACATAGCTTCTCCCAACCTAGATACATTATATAGAGTGGATATATATAGGAACCATGAGGAGCCAGTGTTCCATCATAATCCAGGAGCAAACATAGCTTCTCCCAACCTAGATACATTATATAGAGTGGATATATAGGAACCATGAGGAGCCAGGGTTCCATCATGGTCCAGAAGCAAACAAAGCTTCTCCCAACCTAGATACATTATATAGAGTGGATATATAGGAACCATGAGGAGCCAGGGTTCCATCATAATCCAGGAGCAAACATAGCTTCTCCCAACCTAGATACATTATATAGAGTGGATATATAGGAACCACGAGGAGCCAGGGTTCCATCATAATCCAGGAGCAAACATAGCTTCTCCCAACCTAGGTACATTATATAGAGTGGATATATAGGAACCATGAGGACTGAGGAGCCAGGGTTCTATAATTATAAAAGAGCAAACAAAGTTTCTCCCAACTTAGATAAATTATATAGAGAGGATATATAGAAACCATGAGGAGCCAAGGTGCCATAATTATAAAGGAGCAAACATAGTTTCTCCCAACCAATAAGATACATTATAGGGTCAATTTTAATTCGAACCGGAACGACTCCTTGTACCGGCCTAGAAATGCGTGGCTTGTACTGGCTCTACCCTATCCCACGATAGCCCGGTTTTAACTTTGATGGCCCGGCCAGACTTTTTACAGTACCTGGCCGATTACAGGCCAATTTGACCTATCGCACTATAGCTAAGTTTAACGTGAGTGGATGGATAGTTAGATAGACTTTAGTATCCTATATTTAGGATATATTTTTCATCCATGATCAGTGAATGCTGGAAAAGGTACTGTTGTAAATAGGATATGCCACTCCTGAGTTTCACTTAAATTTCTTCTAAAAATCATTTGTCTTTACAAAGATCATTCAAATTTGTTTACTCTTGACAAATATTCATTTAAAGATCATAACTCTCTTAAAGGGGCTGTAAAGGAAAAATAAAAGGGGGTATAGGATGAAACCTGATAATCTCAGGAGTTGAACGATAAATATAAGACATCTATCTGATGTTCCTGTCTCGAGAAATTGATATAAAACTGTGTCAACATTATACGAAAATTAAAAAAATTTAAACGATAACTTAAAGCCAATTATTTTAGTTAAAATCTAAATGGATTCAAAACTCATAATTTGCCGGCATCTTCATTTTCTGTCACTTCACAATTGAGTTTTATTTTTTCTTCAATTCTTTTTATTAATGTGGCTTCTAATGTTCTTATCCGACTAATAATACAGTTTTGTTGTTGCATGAGAGGAGTAAACATTTTGATGAAATAGTTCCACCCTAAATTATGATTAATTCTTATAGCTCATTAGAATATCTTCCCTCATAGACACTTCACGGGCAGCTGTAGTACATTTGAATTTCCGAGCCAGGTCAACCTTTCCGGTCCCAGTTTAAACTGTATCGCCGGGACATTGGGTAAATAAAGCAGACACTCTATAGGAGTTGCCGGTGCAACAAGCTTGACCCGTTGAATTTACTTTTACTAAAGGGTCAGGGGTGCGTGACTACTTAAATTGGGACTGTATATGTAATTTTAGGTGAAAATCAATTGATAAAAAGGTTTATGTTAGCTCTGAATTACAAAAAGTTATTTCCAAAATATTTTTTTTAAATTTTTTTTAACTTTGACAGTGCATAAACCTACCCTGCGGGATCATAAGCTACCTGAAAAATTAGATACAAACTGACAGACAAGCAAAGTATATATATATATATATTTATTATAAAATCGTGTTTAAATAATTTCTTTTTTAAAGCTTTAGTACCTGGTACTCCGAGGTATTTGTTCAACATTTCGTCAAAATCTTCAAATTTAATCGTGTCAAGACAAGCGGAAAGTTCTCCATCTAAACATTTTTTAATTGTTGAAAATTTTCTTTGTTTTTCACGTGAAAGAGTTTAATCACGGGTAAAATGACAAAGGGAGGAAAATCGTACTGTAATTCTTTTAAAAGAGTTTGAGTTCTCAGAGTTAACGGTTATTAACGATCCGTAACGATCGTCTAAAATAAAAACAACCAACCTTCGTTGACGAAACGTAGAATAAAAACTAAAAACTACTACTTCGTTTTTAATTTTATCAAAAACTACATCATCTCTAATTATTACTCATATAAATTATAAAAGTGGTTTGATTTTGTACTTTGATAAATGTTAATGAGTAAGTTTAAATTACTTGTGCAGAGTTCCCTTAAAACAAATATTCTAACCTGTATCCACTAGGTTATCCATCTCTCTTTAATATTTACAATAATTAATCAGCGTTAAAGTTATGCAAACAAATTTTCCCACTTTCTGTATGATCATGGAAGTTATTAAGGTTTAATTAAGGTAAGGGAGATTGTTTTTTTTGTACACATTGAGCTGCGGTGTATTAACTTATTTTTGTACACATTGAGCTGCGGTGTATTAACTTATTTTTGTACACATTAAGCTGCGGTGTATTAACTTATTTTTGTACATATTGAGCTGCGGTGTATTAACTTATTTTTGTACACATTGAGATGAAGTATATTAACTTATTTTTGTACACATTGGACTGCGGTGTATTAACGTATTTTTGTACACATTGGACTGCGGTGTATTAACGTATTTTTGTACACATTGGACTGCTGTGTAATAACGTATTTTTGTACACATTGGACTGCGGTGTATTAACGTATTTTTGTACACATTGGACTGCTGTGTAATAACGTATTTTTGTACACATTGGACTGCGGTGTATTAACGTATTTTTGTTTAGATTGGACTGCGGTGTATTAACGTATTTTTGTTTACATTGAACTGCGGTGTATTAACGTATTGTGCTGAATAGTGGACTGCAGTGTATTAACGTATTTTTGTTTACATTGGACTGCGGTGTATTAACGTATTTTTGTTTAAATTGAACTGCGGTGTATTAACGTATTGTGCTGAATATTATACTGCGGTGTATTACCGCATTACGCTGAATATTGCACTGCGGTGTATTAATGTATTACGTTGAATATTGGGCTGCGGTGTATTAAGGTATTACGCTGAATATTGGGCTGCGGTGTATTAACGTATTACGCTGAATATTGGGCTGCAGTGTATTAACGTATTACGCTGAATATTGGGCTGCGGTGTATTAACGTATTACGCTGAATATTGGGCTGCGGTGTATTAACGTATTACGCTGAATATTGGACTGCGGTGTTTTAATGTATTACGCTGAATATTGGACTGCGGTGTATTAACATATTACGCTGAATATTGGACTGCGGTGTATTAACATATTACGCTGAATATTGGGCTGCGGTGTATTAACGTATTACGCTGAATATTGTACTGCAGTTTATTAACATATTACGCTGAATATTGGACTGCGGTGTATTAACGTATTACGCTGAATATTGGGCTGCGGTGTATTAACGTATTACGCTGAATATTGGGCTGCGGTGTATTAACGTATTACGCTGAATATTGGACTGCGGTGTTTTAATGTATTACGCTGAATATTGGACTGCGGTGTATTAACATATTACGCTGAATATTGGACTGCGGCGTATTAACGTATTACGCTGAATATTGGACTGTGGTGTATTAACGTATTACGCTGAATATTGGATTGCGGTGTATTAACGTATTACGCTGAAAATTGGACTGTGGTGTATTAACGTATTACGCTGAATATTGGACTGCGGCGTATTAACGTATTACGCTGAATATTGGACTGTGGTGTATTAACGTATTACGCTGAATATTGGATTGCGGTGTATTAACGTATTACGCTGAAAATTGGACTGTGGTGTATTAACGTATTACGCTGAATATTGGACTGCGGTGTATTAACGTATTACGCTGAATATTGGACTGTGGTGTATTAACGTATTACGCTGAATATTGGATTGCGGTGTATTAACGTATTACGCTGAAAATTGGACTGTGGTGTATTAACGTATTACGCTGAATATTGGACTGCGGTGTATTAACGTATTATGCTGAATATTGGATTGCGGTGTATTAACGTATTACGCTGAATGATTTTGAAAGTAAGTAAAATATAACTTCAATATAAAAAAAAAACCTATATAAGAATGATCTGAACATATTTTTATGATAAAAGTGCTGAATATTAGCAATGCTAGAAACTATAAGTTATATCAAGAGACTTGAAAATATTGTGAAAAATAATCAGACCTTTCCTGGGCAAGGGTAAATTACTGTAAAATGTACACAAACCCTACCCTCCTACCCCCTACCTTTACATTGCATTCATATAAATTATTTCATTAAAAGTTCCAAAAAAGTTGTTTTTATTACAATGCAGAATGTTTGCTTGAAATATCGAGGAATCAGTCGTATTCCAAAACTGTAAAAGGAATGCTGTAGAATGAAATAAAATAATGATGATGATAATAATAATAATAATAATATAATAATGATAATAATAATAACAATAATAACAACAATAATAATAATAATAATAATAATAATAATAAAAATAATAATATTAAAAATCAAACTAAATTTAACTGAAAAACTCTGATAAAAGTATTTCTTTATTATGTAAATAATTTTCCTTAGAAAACTTCTCATCCAGAAGTTTAAATCATGAATCTTCTCTCTCCCTCTGTTTGTTGAAAAATGTTTACATAAACACAAAAATAATTGGATTTTAAAATTAATTTGGATTTTCAGTCGATTGTTCACAATTATTTAAATCTGGGTTATCTTAAAACCAGGAATTATTATGGTTAAAAAAGGATTATGGTAGTCTTGCAAAAAATTGTTTACATTGAAAGCATTAAAATGTACAAAATAAACATAAAAAACTCTAAATTATCAGTTTCATAAATCTCCATTTATAAAACTAAAACAACAATTATAATAAGAATTCACGAAAATATGCACGAAATCTTTTCAAGGATGCAAATAAGTATTTTCGTTGACGGATTCAAACATATTTTTTAATCTAAACTCTAATTCAGATATGGAGAATTTGTGACTATATCCCTCCAGCTGTAAATTGTAAAATTATCATTTTTGTGGCAAGCCAGGTTTTTAAAAATTCTTATTTATGGTTTTAAACAAAAGCATTTTCTTTTCCTAAGGCTGATCATCCTGACCTCGGCCTCGGCCTCTGACATGGTGAGGCTGTTGTGGAGATAATCCGCCACCTTGTTGACCTCGTAGGGGTTCACTATAAGAGCCTCCTGCAACCAAAAGTATGAATCAAATTGTGAAAAATGAAAACGACATTTAATTAAATAAAAATGCATTTTTTTCGACTTCTTGAGAGTAAATATTAAAATTTCTTAAATATAAAAAAGCAAACACTAATTTTATCAACTAGCCTGGGAACTCAGCTTTAGCCACTGTTAATTGATTTGTTTTATACATACAAGATTCTTTTAATGTCGTATTTTTCATTATTTTAAGGTCTCACTGTAATCCATTAAGTCTATAAAACACGTAGAATCCAGAAAAAAATGACAAGTTTTCTAGAGATACACATTTATTAACAGAAAATATTTTTAAAAAAATATTAAAAAAGATTACATTTTTTTATATTTTCGGTAAGGGTCTTAATACCCAGATTTCAGTATGTTGTAAGAAATATTCAAAACTATTTATAATTTTTCAAATATCCTATTTTAAGAGTTTTCAAGTTTATAAAGTCTAAAATTTTTATAAATTTGGTTTTTTGTTATGATTCTTTCGTTTTTTGAATATCCAACATGAAAGGTTTAAATGAAAGGAAACCTCAAAGAATATGTAGATGCAGTATTTTAAAATGCTGCAAACATTTTATCTATGATACTGAAAAGACTAAAAGATTTCGCAATTTCTCCGGTTTTCTTAATCAAATTTTTTAGTATCTTAAAGTATTTTGAAGTATTTTAAGAGATGTAATCCGTCGTCAGAGATCAGGGTTCAAAGGGAATCTGGGATTAAAAGTATAGATCGAATGGTGACAATGACATACAGTACATACAGTACATACTGTACATCGAACAATTGTGTGTTGCGGCATCTGTGTGTCTCTACAACAAGAAAGAAAACAGCAGAGAACTTGTTTTTTTCTAATACTAATAAATTTTTTAAATACTTTTCTAATTGCTTCAAATAAAGTATTTGATTTTGATACAATTCAGGGCCTCCCGTGTAAGATGTAATGTAAGGTGAAATAAATTGTTTTGCTGTGTATGACTGAGGGACCCCCCCCCCCCTCTGATTCAATAACTTCATAGTAACTAAATGATTTTATTTTCTGATACTAATAAATGTGTCAAAGTCAATACTTTTTTAATTGATTCAGGTAAAGACCAGTATTCTCAACATACAATTCTGTACTGTCACTAGGGAAGGAGGGTGCTCCCCCCCCCCCCGTGTGATATATAATGAGAGGTGAAATAATGTTTATTTTGCTGTGTTTGAGGGATTTTGCCCCCTTCCTCCTGTTTACCCTGTGCGCCCCCCTTCACTGTTTCTGAAAATTTTCGTTTAAAAAATACCGCCCCCCCCCCCCGTTCAGAAGAATTAGGGGGTGGTAGCTGAATGCCCCACCCCGAGGTTTGACAATTTTTGTCCTCTCCCCTTTAGGATGAATCGCCCACTTGGTTGTGCCTACAATTCTCAACATTCTCGAACCCATTTTTAATTTTCTTATCAAAAAAAGCCATTCATGAATGTTTTGCGTCATGTTTTTCATTTTGCTAAATATTTTTTGAATATTTGAACTTCGCACAAGGAACTTATAAAAGTTAAAATATCGATTTGACAAATGTAAATTAATTGGTTTCTGCATTTTTATTCTCTGTGTAGAATGACGTCTACAAAAATTCCCTTCTTCTTTAAATGTACATTTATGTCCAATGATAAGGAGTACAAACTTTCTATCATCATTCTTAAAATCTGGCCCACATAAACTTCCTGTGGGTATTAAGTTTCCAAACAAAATCGGGTCAGCTGTCTTGACATTTCAAGGGTTTTTACAGTTCGATCAGAATTTTACCATACAGGGAGTCTCAATAAACGTAAGAATTCGGTTACGATTTTGATATCGTCGTCGTGAATTATTTTTTTTTAAAGAATGGTGATGCCTACAACGAATGTTATACTCCGCGTCTCCTAGGTGTAAACACACACGTCACACAGTACAGTTGTTTCTCTTCACGTAACTTTATTTTGACCATTAAAATTAGTTTACACAACGCTAATACTTGACAAAGACGATCTCGCATTCGTCTCTTAATTCCCATGTTTATTGGGACACCCTGTATAAAGCGTAGTTTTTCACCTTTTCTCTTTATACGTTTACTAGCTTGATAACCCAGCGTTGCCCAGGGTAATCAAAGTTACTCCCGCCGTTTACCTGCGCTAGGTCATAAACTACGAGTTTTCCTATTTTTCTCCAAAAACTTGACCCACGCATCTTAGAATCTCAAAACCATGCTGAGAACATTCCCGGGGTCTCCCCAGTTCCCCAATCAAAGTTTGAGGCAAATCGGTCCAGGGGTTCCTGAGTTATGATCGGACAAAAAAACAGACGAACAGAGATTACAATTATGCATAGATAAATGTCGACATGTGGATGTAAAGATTTTTGATTTGTAGACCAACTGCACATGATTGAATTCAAATAGAAGAAACCAAATGCATTTTGCATCTTGTCCTGGTTTGTCCAGGCCTCTAGGGGGATTTATGGAATACAAACTTCCACATAGAGATATAAAATATCTGCATAATATACGGATGGTTTTTCTGAAATCATTAATGTAAGTTTATAAATATTTTGTTTTTTGTATGCAACATGATATTCTACTTTATCCAGTAATATAATTAAGGCAGACTCCTGGGTTACCCACAAAAGATGAGTCTTAAATGACGGCCTAAATAAAGCACTTTAGCGTGAAAATTAGTTTTCTGTCTTTAATAAATCTTTATATAATTGATTTAATCTGAAGGAAGTATGTAAGAAAATATATTAAATAAATTCTGGCATCTCAGTACAATCTAAACCTTTGTGCAGATGACCCTGTAGTAAAGATTAGACAAGTCAATCTAACTTATATGAAAGATGTATCAAATACGTGGACTGAGTCTGATGGCCTAAAAGGGACTGTAAGAGTGATTTCAAGTGATCCTCCATGCAAAAAAAGGGCAATGCCCGATTTACAACAGACTCTTTACACTTGTGAATGTTCATCGAGTAGAACGAGCTCTTTTTGTTAAAATATCTTGAACATCCCTTGAATCACTCTAAAACGCGGTGTACGACATCATCAATCGGTCGAAGGTTGAAAGGGTACTGTTGTGGATCTTTGTATTGCGGGTCACTTGAAATTACGCTTACAGTCCCTTTATAGGGACTGTAAAGGAAAAATGAAAGGGGTATAGGATAAAACCTGAAAATCTCAGGTTTTGAACGACATCTTAGGTTTAAAGGGACTGTAAACAGGAAAGTTTAAAGGGACTGTAAACAGGAAAGTTCAAAGGGATTGTAAACAGGAAAGTTTAAAGCGACTGTAAACATAAAAGTTTAAAGGGATTGTAAACAAGAAGGTATAAAGAGACTGTAAACAGGAAGGTTTAAAGAGACTGTAAACAGGAAAGTTTAAAGGGACTGTAAACAGGAAAGTTTAAAGGGACTGTAAACAGGAAAGTTTAAAGGGACTGTAAACAGGAAAGTTTAAAGGGATTGTAAACAGAAAAGTTTAACGGGACTGTAAACAGGAAAGTTTAAAGCGACTGTAAACATAAAAGTTTAAAGGGACTGTAAACAAGAAGGTATAAAGAGACTGTAAACAGGAAAATTTAAAGGGACTGTAAACAGGAAAGTTTAAAGGGACTGTAAACAGGAAAGTTTAAATGGACTGTAAACAGGAAAGTTCAAAGGGATTGTAAACAGGAAATTTTAAAGGGACTGTAAACAGGAAAGTTTAAAGGGACTGTAAACAGGAAAGTTTAAAGAGATTACAAAAAGGAAAGTTTTAAGGGACTGTAAACAGGAAGGTTTAAAGAGACTGTAAACAGGAAAGTTTAAAGGGAATGTAAACAAGAAAGTTTAAAGGGACTGTAAACAGGAAATTTTAAAGGGACTGTAAACAGGAAGGTTTAAAGGGACTGTAAACAGGAAAGTTTAAAGGGACTGTAAACAAGAAATTTTAAAGGGACTGTAAACAGGAAAGTTTAAAGGGACTGTAAACAGTTTAAAGGGACTGTAAACAGGAAAGTTTAAAGGGACTGTAAACATGAAAGTTTCAAGGGACTATAAACAGGAAAGTTTCAGGGGACTGTAAACAGGAAAGTTCAAAGGGACTGTAGACAGGAAGGTTTAAAGGGACTGTAAACAGGAAAGCTGAAAGGGACTGTAAACAGAAAAATTTAAAGGGACTGTAAACAGGAAGGTTTAAAGGGACTGTAAGCAGGAAAGTTTAAAGGGACTGTAAACATTAAAGTTTAAAGGGACTGTAAACAAGAAAGTTTAAAGGGATTGTAAACAGGAAAGTTTATCGTTTGACCCTATAGACATTTGACCCAATGTCGGTAAATCACATTTTAAAAAAAATTTTCATTCATAAACCTTCCCTGTGGTCACATGATGTCCCACAAAAAATTTGGACCCGATCGGTTCAGCCGTTTTGACGATTATTTGATACAAACTAACGAACAGACAGACAGGCAAGCCAAATTTATATATATATAGATTACTACTTTAACTACCTTCTATTTATAGGACATAATGCTATTGGGAAAAATAAGGCATTTTATCTACATTTTATGCATACAGGACATGGTATGTATCGTGAACATAGGGTAATAAAACGAAGAGGTGAAGCTTAGCTCAGATGTACACAACCAAATTGAACGAATAAAAGAAACAGATTCAGTGAGATTCTTGGGAATATGGCTGGACACAAAATTGAACTTTAATGACTATTTTAAAAAGGTATACAAGCGGTTAACTTTTTCACTTTATGCTATGAAAAAAATGAAAAACTTCTTAAGCTTTGAAACCATAAAATTGCTCTATTACTCCTTTTTCCACTCCCATTTAGAATTTAGTTCAACATTCCTAATGCTAACTTCAAACAAAAATATTGATAAGATAGAATCATTGCAAAAGAAAGCTATCCGTCTTTTGATGGGGTTACCTAGAATAAGTCACACAGCGGAAGCTTTTTGGGCTTTAAACATACTCCCCTTCAGAAAATTAGGAATTTTTAATGTCATTTCAATTGAAAGTATATCAATTTTATTAAAAACGATCTAAACTTTCACACTCCATAAAGCTTTTTTTTTATTTTTTTTAACATTCCAAATAAATCTAAACTAAACTAAAAGTTGTTAGTTCATCGTCGAAAAATACTAACAATCCACCACTAATTTTTATGTAAAATATAGTGTAAACAATAAATATGTAACTTTCCTTATCCTTTCCTTTCCTTTTCCTATTATTTATATTTTTTTAAAATTGGGGGGAAATATTCCCACAACCTCTACTTTTAGAGGTTTTTAAATATTTTCTCCTGAAACACATTTTTTTGTATGTTTTTGTTATATTTCATAAATAAATAATTTTTTACTTTTTTTTTTTTTATTAATTAATTAATAGAGCGGTCGGTTGTATACATCACGATATGTTTACGTATCTAACACTGTACACTTGTATATAGAGTGATCGTATTTCTAAAGGGGGATTACATGGAATTGACCAACTTTTAGATTTTCTTTCTTTATTTAAAGAGAATTCGATGATGTTGACTGCAAATATTTGACAATTTGTCAAATTTGTAGGTTTTCAATTTATTAACAAAAAGTTATGTCAAAAATATTAAGTTTCTAGGGCCCGAATTTAACTTAAAACATTCTTATTTCAAACATTTTTATCGTTTCTTCTCTTCAACTCTTTATGACAGTGTGTGCAGGGTTACCCACAAAAGATGAAACAACAATGACGACCTGGAGCTCTTAACCCTAAACAGACGGGGGGGGGGTTGGCTCTCCTCTCATGTTTTTGATTTTTCATAAATGAAATTTAAAGGATTTTTTTGTAAATCTTTTTTATCCATAAGGTAGGGAGGGTACAGAGCGATAAAAACCGGAGTATATAAAAAACTTAAATAGCCCATAACTGTTTTTGACTAAAGCTACAGATCTGAAAACAATATTTTTGAAAAGCCCTTGAGAATGGTTGTAGAAACATGTGTCACACTTTGATATTTGTTTTAAACCCAAAAAAATATTTTTACATTTTTTCGACCTTTTTTTGCATTTTTTTCGACCTTCGACTCAAAGTTATCGATCTAATTTTATTTCAATGAGCTGCGCGCCTTGAAATATTTGGCTATGAACATGCATTTAAACCCTATACCTATTCGCTGAGGTCTTTTTCTCATGGGGGGGGGGGGCGTCCCATACATGGATTCAGACCCTCCAGCGTTAGATACGTAAACATATCGTGATGTATAGAACCGACCGCTCTGATAATCAATTAATAGAGAGGTCTGTTGTGTACATCTGAGCTAAGCTTCACCTCTTCGTTTTATTACTCTATGATAGTGAAGATGACATGAGCTATCTAGGCTATACAGTAAAATCTTGAATCACCAATTCACTTCCAAATTCCAATTACCATACTCATGAATCTTTCACTTTGAATCAATGGTTCATAATTTGAACCGGCGGTAAGTAGTTCAACGACCTCTTCAACTGATTCAATTCTGTCCCTGTACTGCAGCTATAAAATCTCACCTGCATTAGATCTGCAGCTCCTACGAAAGGAGAGAGAATAAGAACTCCTGGTTTATCCCCCTGTATCCTGCAGGAGACAAACTCCTTTGCTAAAAAAAAATAACATTTAATCTCTTAAACTATAGATTAAACAAAATATCAGATAGGACACTAGATGTCGTTTTTTCTAGATTTCAATGAACCTTGTTTACAATAACCCTGAGGCAAAAGCCCAGAGGAGTTTCGCGCAGTCGGCGTAAAATTACAAGGCAGAGAGAGTCTGTTTTGTCTAAATCATACTCGCGGAATTGCCTGGCGTTGCCCGTGAAATTTTAAAAATCAATTGTGAAGGGCAAAAAGAATTTCTCTGGTCATTCAGAACTAAAGCAAGGATGATTATAATACTTATTCTTATTTTCATGTACTCTCTAGTTCTACGTATTGCATGGGTCTCATCTTAAAAACATATTTTTACTTAAACTCCGGTCATGGTGTTTCATCTTCACCGTTAAATACCTCAAGATTTTTTAATAACATTTTAGAATTTTAGTCATATCCGTTGTTGTATCTGGTTAACTGTATAATGTAAATACAAAACCAGGTTATGTTTTAACTATATTTGGAACTAGGGGTTACAATCGTTTAGTATAAACTTAAATCTTTGATATTACACTATTATTCTTTATCTTACTTAAAGGGACTATGTAAGGTAAATAAACTAAGGATTCATTTGAGACATATAAAACGTTTCCACGATGTATAATTAATGAATCCTAAAGAATTTGTCCACATACAGTGAAACCCTTTATAACGAATACATCGGAAGAATTTATCAAATGTCGTCTTGACACTTTTTCAATGAGTTTTATACTATATTTCGTAAATTTCAGTATTTGCGAAAATAAATAAATAGCCATGAATATGCGGGAACATTTTTAAAGAGTTCCATATAATCATTTAATTAAAAAACTAAATATCTGCAACATTACATTATCAGAAAGTGAAGAATACGACATTTGATGAATTCTTTCGATGTATTCGTTATTAAGGGTTTCACTGTACACTGCATGCTCATTTCAACTATACCCTGCATAGCCGGTCTGTCCCTTTAAGGAAATTTAACAATATGCTAAATATAAATATAATTTTTTTCGAGCAAAGTATAAAAATTTAGATATACAGGGTGATTAAAAAACGGAAATATCGTTATTTTACACATGCCAACTTTTTTTTCATAATCCAAGAATATGATTATCAAAATGAAGAAATATTTGTCGGGACATACAAAAAAAACATTCCGAAAAATCTTTTTGCAAAAAAAATTTTTTCACGAAATTATTTGGAAAATATTTTGTATAAATACTAATCTGTTCTAAAATTTTTTAAAAATCTATTAACAAAAAATCCGGTAGAAAAGATCTGCGCCAAATCTTAGACAAAAGTATCAAAAATGTATCTATACTGTTGAAAAATTCTTCATATTTTTCAAAATTGTTTGAATCAAAAGTTCCATTTTTCCATCTTTACAATTTTGGTAAGATTTGGAGTCGATTTGTGCTAAGTTTTTTTGTGAAAACTCTTTATTTATTCATTGAAATTTATGATAAAAATAGAATAAACAGTTTTAATCGATTTCTAAAGACAAAATTTTTTTGTGCAAAAATCTCTCTTGGATTATTTTCTAAGTACCAAAAGTGTTTTTGCTATTGGTTCACTTTAGGGGGGGGGGCTTTGTGGGCTCAGCCCCCCCTGGACCAGTAAAATCAAAAGATTTTAGCTTAGCCCCCCATTGAAAAAAAAATTTAAGCCCTCCCCGTGCAAATTCCTGAATACGCCCCTGACGCTAATCCTGGTATTTACACCATCCGGATATACAGATATAGGGATAAGAAATTTTTTGGCGAAAACTCAAATTATTTGTTTATGAAAAAAGGTACAAACCTGATAAGTTCATCCCGTCTCGAAGTGGTGTAATCAGTGCTATATCAGCATCTCTGGTCAAACAAAAATACTTGAAACATTATCTATTTTCATTTGAATCTTTTTTATTGATTTTAATCAATGAAAAGGTCAAAGAAAAATAACAACATAATTAAAAGTGCATTCAATTTTAAAATGTATTCTTAAAATGGAAAATGCAGAAAAGTTATTTTCTCTCAAATGTCGACTTCTTTTCAAATTATTAAAAAATAAAAAATCATTCGAGACATATATAATTTCAAAATACTTTTTTTCTATTAAAATATGTTAGTAAACATTGCCAAGTGTCAAATTAGGGATCAGCGCAACAAGAGATTTTTGAAAAGCATGTTCCAAAGCATAAAAAAGGTATTTACAATCTGTCAAAAAAATGTGTTATAACTTATAGGCTAAAAAATTCGAAATTTTATTTTTCCAAAAAAAAAAATTTCAAAATTATTTTTGTACATTTTTTTCAAATTTTTTTGGGGGGGCAACACCGGGCCCTTCAGACAGTTTTCAATATTTTGGAGAGCAATTTTATTTTACAATTTTTGTTTAATAGGATTACAATTTTCTTGATAAAGTGTTCTTTCATGATAAAAACTAAAATTATTTTATGATGTTAACAATAAAATTATCTCCTTTGTGCGTTTTTCAGTAGCCTTATATTGTTCAAAAGTAGTAATTAGGTATCAACAAACTAACAAAGGTTTTCAACTCTTTCATGCAAGTCACCGTAATACATTTGAATTTCCGAGCCGGGTCAACCTTTCCAGTCCCAGTTTGTACTGTACCTAGCTCTATGGATAGGACTAGCCGGTGCAACAAGGTTGACGGCCTTGACGCAGTCAGACTTTATGCTTCATATAGGTTGAATTTACTTTTACTAAAAGGGCAGAGGTTCGTGAAGTACAAAACGGTTTTCAGACAATCCTGATTCGGACGACATCTTTTTCTATCTACAGCGCGTGGAATGGAAAAACCGGTTGTGCAAATTATGCATTTATTGCGTGTCCTGGAGTATCGAATTTTTCGCGCAAATTCCGCCTTTTTGCGCAAGCAAAAATAAAACTTTTAGCTACAACAGATATTGTTAATTACTATTTACTTTTTAATTGTCCTATTTGAGGGAAAGATTTGAAATTATATCATCATTATCAGTTTTTTTACGATTCATTGTTAATTGAAGTAAGGTATTTTTCTAGTTTAAGATTTAACTGTTAACGATATTTTTTCTATTTTCTTTTGAATTTCTTTCCTGAATATCTCATTGTATTCTTATATTGCTTCTTTGTACAGAATTGTCAATATTGTATTGAGTCTTGGAAATAGAATTATTTATTTTCTTTTCTATATTTATCTTTATACAGCCTTGTTTTAAACATCACATTTAATTTTTTTTGGTAAGGTTCGTGTTTTAGGATAGAAAATGATATAATGTAGGTAGAAGGGGATACAGGGGGACCTTTGCACCCATCTGACGGATTCAAGGGGCGTAGCCCCCACCCCCTGAGATTTTAGAATAGCTCTTCAATAGCACTTAAGGGAATAAAAACCTAGTGCAAAACAGGAATAATAACTATCTTAAAAAAATGTTGTTCCTTCATCTGGATGTTTTTGTTCCGAAATAAATCTAGTGCCCCCCCCCCCTAAATGTTGTTTTCAAACCCCTCTGTTATCAGAGTTAGAAGTTTAAGAATTTAATGTTCTCAAAAAAGTACAGTTATCTATTTCTTCAACTTTTTAAAATTTCTAAAATTAAATACAAAATTTTTCTAAATATTTTGCACTTTAGAATTTTAAATTTTAAAGGATGGAAACAAGGAAAAATTTTTAAGGAAAATTCAGCCGAAACGTGTTAAAAGCCAATTAGCTTGTGCAAGCAGGTTTATTAATTAAATTATTAATAAAATCATTAAAAATGAATACTAAATAATTAGTTATTAATATATTTAATTCAAGTATTCCTGTAAAGTCCGGCCAGATCCAGATCGGAGAGAGGACGGCTCACTGCAAAACAAAAAGAAATAATACAATAATATATATTTGGCAATTGCCTAAAGGAGTTACGCGCGCTTGCCGCGTTATTACAAGAGAGAACACTGCAAACCAAGATGTGCCGCGCTCTCACGCAAATATCAGACAGTATTTTTCCAATTACTACTTTTAGACTTACGTTAGAAACAAACCAATTGCATTTTTGAAATTTATATGTTTAGGTCTACAAAAAAGTATAGGTGAGTTTGTGACGTAAAACCGAAGGCCATGGCGTTTAGTCACTTTAAAATCGAAGCTTTCTAATGGTTTATACACTTTCTGGGCAGAGCGCTGCGGCCAGGACAGGCCAGGTAACAGAGCGCCGCGGCTAGAACAGACTCTCTTTCTGTCTTGTAATTCAACGCGGTATGCGTGTAACTCCTTTGGGCTTCTGTCGATGTATTAAGTAGTAATTACTACTATAACATAAAGACCCTGTTCGTCTGTCTGTTTGGTTCATTATTGTAATTCCGAACATAAATCAGAAAGCCCTTGACCGATTTGCCCCAAAAAAATCTATTTTTTTTTCTTCAAGGGGGGTCTGTTATGAATTTGGTTATGAAAATTATTTTTGACCTCCGGGTCCATGCAAAGCTGACAACCTTTATTTTTACATTTTTTCTTCTTTTGTAGCCCTAGTATTTAACATTTGAAAACGTGCCTGTGTCCACCTTTTGTTTAAAAGAAGTAAATGAAACAATTCCAATTTTTGCGTTCGAACATGCACAATTTATATTAGTTTGAAACCGTATTTCCTCTTTTAAAAAATAGGGCTAAGTGCCTTTAGAAGAGAATGAATAGTCTGGAAAACTATGATGAGATTATAGGTTTAAATGCATAAACAGAAGATTTACTTGTAAATCGGGTTAACATATGCATAAAATAAATAATCATGAATAAATAAAATTTTCAAAAAAATGTACTTTTGAATAGTTTGTCTTTCCTTCTGTTTAAGGTTTCAAAACATTAAAACGGCAAAAAACAAAATTGCAAAACTCATTGAAACGGCTGAAACGAATTGCAAAACTACCAGTTTTTCTTTTGGTTTGATAATAAGTGATTCAAAGGTTGCAAGCTCTCACACAAAAATCTATGAGAATTTTTCCAATAATTTGTTTAACTGAAACTAAATTAACTTTTTTAAATGTTTAAAAGAATAAAATTTAGTTTGTAAGGTAAAAAAGGCCACGCATTGTGACACTTCTTGAGAGTAGTTTGGATCTCTGTGAACAAAAATGATTTAAACTTGCTGTTTTATTCTTAAAGTGGAAAATCTAAAAGAAATCGTATTTTTTTCCGTAAGAAGACTGGTGCGAAGCCCCCCTAGGATAGAGTTTACCTAGATGTACAGGAGTCCATGTACTAGTTCCATATTTACTGTTAATAGAGTTTACCTAGATGTACAGGAGTCCATGTACTAGTTCCATATTTACTGTTAATAGAGTTTACCTAGATGTACAGGAATCCATGTACTAGTTCCATATTTACTGTTAATAGAGTTTACCTAGATGTACAGGAGTCCATGTACTAGTTCAATATTTACTGTTAATAGAGTTTACCTAGATGTACAGGAGTCCATGTACTAGTTCCATATTTACTGTTAATAGAGTTTACCTAGGTGTACAGGAGTCCATGTACTAGTTCCATATTTACTGTTAATAGAGTTTACCTAGGTGTACAGGAGTCCATGTACTAGTTCCATATTTACTGTTAATATAGTTTACCTAGATGTACAGGAGTCCATGTACTAGTTCCATATTTACTGTTAATAGAGTTTACCTAGGTGTACAGGAGTCCATGTACTAGTTCCATATTTACTGTTAATAGAATTTACCTAGGTGTACAGGAGTCCATGTACTAGTTCCATATTTACTGTTAATAGAGTTTACCTAGGTGTACAGGAGTCCATGTACTAGTTCCAAATTTACTGTTAATAGAGTTTACCTAGTTGTACAGGAGTCCATGTACTAGTTCCATATTTACTGTTAATAGAGTTTACCTAGGTGTACAGGAGTCCATGTACTAGTTCCATATTTACTGTTAATATTATGAACCATCGTCTCTAAAGTTTCCCTTAACAAAATTAAGGTTATATCCATAGATTAATAACGATACAGATAGAACACTAGATGTATGGTTTCCAACGCAATTCTGCGCCATTCCGTACAATTCCGCGCAATTCGAAGACAGTTAATCGCCATTCCTCGCAACGGAATTCCGATTGAATCCCCTAACTAGATGTCGTCTTTTCAAGATTTAGGGATTTTTCGTTCACAATGGCCTTGAGGCAGAAGCGGAGTTCCGCGCAGGCAGCGTTGAAATACGAGACAGACAGAAAGCATGCGCACAAATCCTTTGGGCCTCTCCCTCAATTGGTTATTATGAACGAAAAACCTCTAAATCATGAAAAGACGACATCCAGAGTTATCTGTACCGTTATTAAGCTATGGTTATATCTGTCAATAAGTAGTGATGGGTTATCGTTTTTCGGTCCTTTTTAGGTACGTTTTAGGTACGTTTTAGGTACGTTTTAAATACGTTTATAGGTCCATTTTAGGTACGTTTTAGGTACGTTTTAAGTACGTTTAGAGGTCCATTTTAGGTACGTTTTTTGGTACGTTTATTTGTCCGTTTCAGGTACGTTTTTACGTAAGTTTTGAGTCATTTAAGGATTTGTGACGTTCAAAGTGCTTCACAATTTGAGTTATCTCTCACAATGCATATATTTCCTTTTATTACATTTTTGAACTTTTTTCTTTGATCGAAATCATTAACCAAAACCATTTTTCTATACGGAAATCAAAAAATGGTTTTACTAATCGTGTTAAAAAATCTTTTGGTTTACATTTTTAGCAAGAGTAAATATTTAGCAAAATAAAACTTCACTTGTCTGTCTGTCTTTAATTGTTTGTAGCCTAAAAACGTCCAGCAGGTCTGATCAGGTCCAAATTTTAAATAGAAATTTACGAGACCCCATTAGGGAAGGTTTATCCAAAAATTTAACCTGAAAATAAGCGATTTTGTTAAAAGTTAACAATGAATGAGTTGAGTTCAAAGGAAATCTGTATTTGAACTTAATTCTAAAAATTCCAATAGAAAATAGTAAACAAGAATAGATTTAAAAACAAGAATTTTCATCAAAAATATCTAAAGGGACATTTTACTACACAATATTATTTTGAAAAATGCCCGCTAGAAGAAAGTTTGTATTAACTGGAAAATAGTAGTCAAAAATAAATAATAAGTTTTTTAATTCACATTTTGACGGTTATGGTTGATCAATACTTTGAAAGAATATAATAAAGCTTCATGAAAAGCTTCAAGTTTGTATTTTCAAAAATAAATATTCTAAAATAATTTTTTATCAGTTGATATTTCTTTGTACAATGTACAGCATTTTATGGGTATATATCGAGAGAAAAAAATCTCACTAAATTACCCCTTGTTGAACTTTTGATTAAAGCGCAAAAAAGCTGAAGACTTTTGAATTGTGGATATACCAATCTTGATCCCATCTATTTATTAATCTGCAGATTACTTTATCGTACATTAATATCCTGGAAAGGCTCTGAAATGCAACCAATCAGAGTGTCGATTTCATAAACCGAACAGCCAATCAGAAGCTGATAAATTTTAAAATGTTGCACGCAATCAATGAGAGAGCTCTAATTGGTCGTGATCCAGGAGGGATATCAAAAAGAGAGGATTAAGGAGAAGATCAAAGGTGCCAGCAGTGGATATACAGAGATAATTTTCAATCAGGATTAAGAATATCTAATACAAGAGTGAAATAAGCAAAAGTTTACCTTAGTTGCTGTCCTTCTTCTGTTCTTGTTGGTAAACAAATCTGAACCAATGACACGGCTCCTCTGACAAAACATAGTTTAGTTTAAAGGGACTGTAAGTGTAATTTCAAGTGACCATCCAAAAAAATATGACAATGCCCGATTCACAACGCAGTACCCTTAAAAGCGTTGTCTGATAAATTATGAAATATATATCAATGTTTAAAATATTAAAAACTTAAAATTTTCAATTGTGAATTCTCTTCAAAAGGGATTCGCGCATTTCTCCTCTAAGAATTATCAGATTCAAAAACTGTTTAAGGTTGAAAAACTGCAATATTATTTATACAATATACATTATACCAGATAACGGTTGCAAGGGTATCGGTCCACTGCCATATTTGCATGGATGGTCACTTGAAATTTCGCTCACAGTCCCTTTAAATATCAAACAAGTTTTTGAGATTTCAAAACAAAGTATACGTGATAAAATAAAATATTGTTTGCAGGGCTTGAGGGCATTTGCTATTCTTTCTTTCTTATTAAATATATATAGTGAGAGAAGCCCAATATTTGGTACTGAAGAATACTTCACAACTTCTAAAAATCTTCAGAAAAGGAATATCTATCTGTGTTGTTACATTAAGGTAAATGATGAGAATGTGTAATCGTGTAAACGCGACTGACTTCCTATAAACTGTTGACCAACAAACTAATGTACTGCAATATCCGAATTGTTCAATATAGTGCTATTTGCTGATGGTAGATGTCAAAGTCTACTACAGTCCACAGGTTTACATCCTTTTCTATTTGTAGATGTCAAATTCTACTAGAAACATCGAGAATGCCTGGAAAAATCTGTATGCAGTTATAAGTTGATTAACAATCAAGAGCTGACTTTTTCTAATAATTGCAATTGCAATGAATGTTTCTAGAAAATATTTTATTATTTAAAAAGCTGACTGGATTAATATGAAACAGCATATTAAATGTTTATGAAATTAGAGTAAAATTAAAGTATAACTGTGAAGAATTCTTTGATTTTTTTTAAGTAAATACACACATATGATGAATATTGTTAGAGAAGAGTAGGGTTCAGTTAGAATTGAATATGGTTGAGGTTAGAGATGAGTAGGGTTCAGCTTGGAAAGATTTCTACTCTAACCTAAGCCCTGCTTACATCTAACCAAAGCCCTAACCTTCTCCAATCTCTATAGTCCAACAGAGCCCTACTGCTTTAAGATGCTATTTTGTTCATTTTAGATCTTCACATTTTAGATCTAATTTTACACTTCTTGGAAACAATTCATTATTTTTCATTGCCAGAAAATATTTTTAATTAAAAATAAGTTTTGGATCAAATCTACATTTTCGAACAAACTGGGAATTAGATCTAAATTTATCAAATTCCAGTGAATAAAAAATCAATAAAAATTATATCTTAAATGCACAAATGATTCTCAATTCTTTATACAAAAACATAAAAATATGCATACGGTATTAAGACTTTAACCAATAAAACCGGATCATATTCCTTCTTCTCAAATACTTTATAAAAAACAAAAGAACATTTGTACACTTAGAATATAATTATAGGTATAGAGTGGCTTGTTCTCCCTCTATAGTTTCAGATAAAATAACAGACGTGATTTCAAATATTCCATGGAAGAAGAAATACAAATAAATCTGCAAAAATTATGGATTTATGAATTTGTAAAGTGGCTTATGAATTTGTAAAACCGGATCATATTGATTCATTTCCTTTATAAAAACATTCTTTTCGGTCAGAAATTGTAAGGTAGAAATCATTACCATTTAATTTCAAAACACTGATTTTTAGATTATGTTACAGAGATTTCAAATCCCTGTTTTCTTTAACCCTGTCTGGAAATTATTATGAATTTAATGCTTTGAAATATTTTCAACTTCAAAACAAGTTTAACAAATTAAATTTGTTTTTATTTTCTTTTATGAAACTCAGTGTCAGCTCCTACCAGATTGCATCTATTATGTAAGTTTTAAAAACAAAATACATTTGATACATGAAAAGCTCACTGAGGGGATGGATGCAACTATTATAAGACACAAACTTATGAAGACACACTTATGATCCCTTGCGACAAGGATGCACAAAAAAATTACAAAAAATACAGTTTTTGTTTAGTTTTACAATACCTGTGAATATGATATTTCTCAAGAAGTTTCTCAAAAGCTTTTAACTTGTGATTTAACCCTTTAGTGAAGTCCACGCTGTCAATTCCAAGAATTGTCTAAATGTAAAATTCCTAAATTTCGACCAATGAAAAAAGAAGATAAAAAAATAAGTCCATATTACAGCTTGAATTATAGCCTGAATTTCATGATTTCATTGAATATGAAAAAATACTAAGTATCATGGGCTGATCTTTTTAAAAAAATTGTAGAGTCAAGTGGTGTGACTGTTGGCAACTGTTCAACTTTATATCAACACGATACAATGTATAGAAACTGCCAGGTATTTATCAACTTTAAAATTTAACTCCGTTTTGACAACAGTATTCCATATAAAATCTTTTTGACTAACAAGACACACGTGAAAATGTTGGTAACTTGGTCTGGTATTCAAGAAATATTAATATTTACTTTGCAGAAGTTGCTGTAAACAAATATTTTCCGTCAAATTTTTAAAAACAGCTTTTGTGGCGCATTCTTTCCATCTTCTATTTAGATTGGTAACATTTTATCTTTCTAAAGATTATAAAACAAAAACAAAACAAAAAATAGCGGATTTTAAAGCATTTTTTCGTGGAATTTCAAGATTTTATGAAAATCGAAAAAAAATTGGGTCCGATCGGCTTAGCCAGACAAGCAAAGTATATCATAGATGCAATTACTACATTATTTACTAGACTCACCGCAACATCGTCTCGAATCAAAGACGACTTTGGCGCAGATGCCGCCATTGTTTCAAATCTTGCGAACGGAACTCCCAGCGGCATAGATCGTATCTTTACATTCCTTAAACATTACAATTTAAAAACAGTTCTTTTTGTTGTTCTTCATTTCGACGCCTTAAAGTGAATTTATAAAAAATTTTAAATGATTTTATCATTCCCGGATCACCTCGATAATTTCATTGATAAACTTTTATGGTAGAAATCCAAACACGTGAATTTAACAGTTCTGCCAATATTCCAGAAACCTGTGACTTTCGATCCCAATTTGACTGATTAAACATAATTGTTTACTCTTTTTCGGAAAGACTTTTTTGCGGCATCTATGTGTTAAATGAAAAGTATGGAACAAAAAAATCCGTAAGTTTAATAATTGTTGAATTATTGACCGAAACATGTTTTAATTCAAAAAGAAGAAACCGAATGTTTATCACTGTGGTTAGTCCAGGGTGCAACGGTTGAATTGTTAAAAAATGAATTTTTAATATGAAACTTTAGAAAATTAAAATATAATTTGTTATTTTTATTATTTATTTGAAGAAACTCAGCATTCCATTCATTTCAATAAAATTGCATTGTGATTTGCAATTCCCAATGCTTTAATTCAAAATATGATCTTCATTAAATATATAATTAATTAGACGCAAACAAATATAAAATAGTCAGCTTGAAGCATTTTGATCATAAAATAACATATTAATATTACTGTACATCTGAGAACTTAAGCGTAATAATAAGGCAAGCTTGTTTGACATAATTCTTAAATAAGTTATCATAAAGATATAGTATAATCTTCTTTTAGCAGCGTTGTTGAAAGTTGGTCAGACGTATAAAATGCACAATAAAAATACTAAACATTTATATTAATCTTGAAGTTTTAATGATATAATGATTCTAAACCCAATAGTTTATATTTAGGACTGAAACACAATATTGGAAACATTTAAAACTTTTTTGAACTTTAGACGCTGAACATTTTTTTGGGTTACAATATGCAGTCTAAACTAAAGTAAACATTTACATTTGTAAAGTGTGTAAAAAATATGTCAATACATTTATGGAAATGAAATGCAATTACCACCATAAGAGTTAAACTTTTGAATCTCTATATTTACAGTGTTGTATGGCATACAAAAAATTGAACAGTATTTTGCCTTTTACTTCGTTATAACTTAAGCTAGAAACAAGACCGTCGCTGTTTTAGAATGAATATGTCTTGGGCTACAAAAAGTATAAAATAATTGGTAAATTAAAACCAAAGCTTTAAAGTCGAGGCTGTCGAAACATTTGATGATTAACTATCATAGTTATATCAGCATGTAGACAATCTGTACTATAACCTCTTTTGGATAACCCAATATGTTGAATATGATTAAAAATATTACATGTAGATAAGATTTAAACAGCGGAATTTCTGATCGTAGCAATGAGGATGATATTATCGAAAATAGTATGATGTATTGAAACTACATTTATACCATTGAAACAGAATTAAAGATGATGATGTATTACCTGCCCCCCGCATCATGTTCAACAATACGTAAACCTCGATCTACTCTTGTCCCTAGCCCTCGTTCACAACAATCTATATATTTAGATAGATAGAGTTAAATGTCAAATCTATATATTTAGATAGATAGAGTTAGATGTCAAAGCTATATATTTAGATAGATAGAGTTAGATGTCAAATCTACATATTTAGATAGATAGAGATGTCAAATCTGTGTTAGGTATTTACCCAAAGATATTTTCCCAAGCGCGACTTCCCAAGTGGTAAATTCCTAAAGGTTAGGTTAGGCGCCCCGGGCTGCAATGGGGGGGGGGGGGTCGAGCGCTGGAACTAGGATGGGCTAGAGGGCTAAGCGCTGCAGCTAGAACAGACTAAAGAACCGAGCGCTGTGGAAAGAACAGACTTGGGAAGTTTCCACTTGGGAAAATACTCTTGGAAAGTTGCCTCTTTGGGAAAGTACCTACCATCGTTAAATAAACGTAAACATTGGGATAGTCAGCGTTTTCAGGTTTTTACAATAGATCATGATGTCAAGGAGAAATCTTCAATTTGTTGAATAAAAAAGACATGAATATATTATTCGATCTTGATAAACCAGACAAATTTTTTAGAGGTACCATTGTGAATTGCACACGCCAGTCTTTTTATTAAATAGAGATTCATGTAAAGTTACATATGCACTCTATATAATGTCAAATTTTTAAAAAATGTACTTTGAGTTGACACCTGATACCTGTCCCTTTAGTAAAAGTAAATTCAACTTATATGAAGCATAAAGTCTGACCGCGTCAACCTTGTTTCACCGGCTAGTCCTGTCTAAAAAGCTAGATACAGTACAAACTGAGACTGGAAAGGTTGACCTGGCTCGGAAATTCAAATGTACTACGTCTGCCCGTCATTTTAACTCACATCGCTTATTTTCATCATAATTTTAACTTTAATTTAGATCTAAATCAAACTATTTTTCTTGTCAGGATATATTCCCATTTAATTTACTGGTTTTTATATTTTCCGCAAAATGAACAATTGATTAAATAATTTCCGGAAAAATTATAATGGATTAAATAATTTCCGGAAAAATTGTAATGCATCAACTAATTTTCGGAAGATGTATAATGGATTTGATAATTTCTGGAAAATGTAAAATGGATTTAATAATCAATCAGAGGAACAACGGGGGGGGGGGGGGGCCACCTTCCCCGAGCAACTTATAAGGGGGGCGCCGACCCCCCCCCCCCTGCAGGTTGGAAAAAAATGGTGAATATCAAAATTAAAAAAACACCATTTCACGCATCATTTATGATAAAAATGTTTATTATTTTCTCCTTTTCAATTTGGAGAATGTCAATTACACTATATACATACATACATATTTAAATAACATTTTACTTCTTTTGGGAAAACTGACAACCTAAGAAACTGTTTATTATGATATAAGCATATTAAGATTAAGATTAAGATTTAATAATTTTCAAAAAATGTTGAATGCATTATAATTACCAATAAAGTTTAAAAGATAATCTTCACACTGGAATGAGACCAAATCACTGCCAAGAATACCTAGAAATATTCAAAGGGGATGGTGGAGTTGGCACATTTGATGTAGGTTTGTTAAAAGTTAACAATGAATGAGTTGAGTTCAAAGGAAATCTGTATTTGAACTTAATTCTAAAAATTCCAATAGAAAATAGTAAACAAGAATAGATTTAAAAACAAGAATTTTCATCAAAAATATCTAAAGGGACATTTTACTACACAATATTATTTTGAAAAATGCCCGCTAGAAGAAAGTTTGTATTAACTGGAAAATAGTAGTCAAAAATAAATAATAAGTTTTTTAATTCACATTTTGACGGTTATGGTTGATCAATACTTTGAAAGAATATAATAAAGCTTCATGAAAAGCTTCAAGTTTNGGTCATTAGAGGTCATTAGAGGTCATTAGAGGTCATTAAAATTCAATTTGATTTTATTTTATGAATTTCGATCACTAATTAGGCGTGCACCCAAAAAATTGGAAGATTTGAACCAAAAATGAAGGCAGGGCCCCCCCCCCCCCTACATCAAATGTGCCAACTCCACCATCCCCTTTACATTCTAAATACAAAAAAGTTTTTTTTTCACAAACATTTAGTGATGGAAAAAACTCATTTTATTTTGCTTGTTTGTTTATTCGAATCCATAAATATCAACACGGCTAAACTCATATCCCCGGAAAAAAAAATCTTTGAAATTTTTTTCTTAATATATTATACACTGATCAAATATCAGATTTGGAATTATCAAGTTGTACAAAAAGTTGACTTGACCAAATATTAGTTAATTAAAATTTAGAACTAAATCTAACATTAACGTTAAAATCCAAGAAAAATAAATGCAAAGGCAAAAATTGGCTTGATTTGTAAGTTATATAAAGGTTTTAAGTGCTAAGTGAAATATGTGCCAAAAGCACATTTCAGCTTCTCCCATGGTCAGCTTTGGTGCAAGCACTTTCAAAACGTTTATAAATTATCTTGAAGTCATGATAAACAAACTTACCATTTCGAACAGCATATATTTAAGAGTTTTAAAATGATAAGCAAAGAAAAAAAATTATTTTCCTTTTTTAGTCCGAAAAGGTCATAATTATCACAATTATGGGATGATTATTGATTATATAGAAAATATAGGAAAGTTGAAACCCAGTACGAACATTTAATAATCAAATTACCAAACTGTTTATCATGATTGGAAGAAAATTTAAAGATGTTTAGAAAGCTATATCTCTAAAACTACCAATGGAGAAACTGAAATGCGCTTTTTGCATTTATTTGTCTTTGCGCACAGAGCTACATAACCTACAAATCAAGCCAATCTTTAGTAATTTTCTTCTTGGATGTACAAAAATTTGTACATGTAAAATATATTTCTCAATGTGAATTAATAAATAATTTGTCCAGCAACAATAAATAATGATAGGATTTTTTGTACAACTTGATAAATCAGAAAGACCTAATATTTGATATTTGGCTGGTCCGAATGGGCTGAAATATTTCAAATTTTTTTCACGGGCAAACGCTGGGGTCTTCATCAATTGTATTGTATAATTAGCTATTCTTCATGTTTCATTCAAGATATATTTTGGATCCCAGTAGAAAAATATCCTTCCAGAGGTGTATTTTTATCATAATTTACCTTGTAGAAAAATATCCTTCCAGGGGTGTATTTTTATCATGTCCCAAGGGGGAAAAGGAACATGCATGAAGAAACCTATTTTACATCTGAGATTCTCCTCCTTAGCCTTTCTCCGAACAATATCAGGAACCTAATATTTTATTCTTTATATCTACACTGGATAGTATATGTATATATATATGTCAAATGACCTAACTGCAATCGCTTTAAATGACCCAACTGCAATAGCTTCAAATTACCCTACTGCAATAGCTTCAAATGACCCTACTGCAATAGCTTCAAATGACCCTACTGCAATAACTTCAAATGACCATACTGCAATAACTTCAAATGACCCTTTTGCAATAGCTTAAAATGACCCTACTGCAATAGCTTCAAATGACCCTTTTGCAATAGCTTAAAATGACCCTACTGCAATAGCTTCAAATGACCCTACTGTAATAGCTTCAAATGACCCTACTGCAATAGCTTCAAATGACCATACTGCAATTACTTCAAATGACCCTACTTCAATAGCTTCTAATGATCCTACTGCAATAACTTCAAATGAACCTGCTGCAATAGTTCAAATGACCCTACTGCAATAGCTTCAAATGACCCTACTGCAATAGCTTCAAATGACCCTACTGCAATAGCTTCAAATGAAATGACCCTACTGCAATAGCTTCAAATGACCCTACAGTAATAGCTTCAAATGACCCTACTGCAATAGCTTCAAATGACCCTACTGCAATAGCTTCAAATGACCCTACTGCAAAAGCTTCAAATGACCCTACTGCAATAGCTTTATCGAGACGGGCGCTTTCGGATTTTTTTTATTCATTCATCGTCTGTGAACGATCTTTTGATCGTTCGGTTTATTTTCAATCGTTCCTAATAAATTGATTATGTTCTTTTTCAAAATGTCCATCTATTCCAATTGTTTTCTTACTGAACAATCGTTCCGTAAAACCGTGAAATTTTTAATTCATTAAAGTTTATCGTCAAATAAAATCGGTTCTTCACTCTTCAGTAAAATGTTTTTAAAAAATATGTTGGAAAATATAGTTTTTTGAAAAGGTTGTTCCATACAGTTTTTGCCGGATGATACACAGCATTTATGAATTGATAAAAATATGACAATTTTGGTCTAAAGGAACTAAATTTTTTCCTAAAATCAAATTTACTAACCAACATATCTGGTCGACCTAATGTCAACCTGCAGTCTTGTACGAAATTTCGCATTTCTCTGAAACAGCTGATTTTTTTTTGCACAAAACTGCGCATAAAAAGAAAATTTATGTCATCATTTTCGCATGATTTTGCGTGTGAAGTTAATACAAAGTCATATTTTGCACAAAATTGGACAATGCTCATGATAACGAAAAATTGTAATTGTTTTACAATATGGCGCATGAATACGCAATAAGTAATAAATGTGAATTAGTTTTAGATAAAAACGATTTTTTCATAGCTGCAGTATTTATAAATGAACAATAATCACATTATTATAATATTTATAGTTAAGACATTGTTAAAATTTTGGTCCCTTCCTTTCATAAAATTTTCCATGGTATTTTTTGAAAAGACGCCACTGGAGGTGCGTCTCAGTCTGATATCTTTGCACTAATCAACGTTATTTGTAAGTTGTATTTCTCTCTTGGAAAGGAATGACCTATATCCAAACAGTTAATCCACCGTTAACCAGCCAAATCTGCGAAATTTTACATTTGCATGTTTCATAATATTTCAGGACAAAAAGTCGTCTTAAAATAAAATTAGTAAACTGTCGTTAATACAAGAAAGAGGAGTGCGAAGCGTCTTAAAGCCTATTATCCAAAATTTTAAGTTTCTAAAATCAAATCTGATGTTTTCTAACCTCCATAAGATGATAATCATGGATCCAGATCAAGGGTGTACTATCAGCATCCTGGGGCAAATTAGAAGGTGAATACAAATCTTTTGATTTAATCCAGTTTACCTATTTTTATATCCGGTTACTTTAATTTCTTACTCTTATATCTTTGCAACATGATATTGTAACCTTAGAATTCTGCTAAAAAAATAGTCAAAGTTAAACTATCAAGAGTCACTTTATCAAGCTGCAAAGTTGTATAAGAGAATAATAAATAAAAAGTTTAAAACAATAAGGAAATATTGTTTTCTTTACAAACAGTATGAAATCAATAAGCTACGGTGAAGCCAATTTTAATTAGAATAAGAATACGATATTTAAATAACGTGGCCAGATTTTAATAAAAAAATTAGAAACTTTAAAACACAAAATAATCGAAGGACGAGGATTACGAGAAAATAAGGAGAATGTGGCTCGGACGCAAAATTTTTGTGGCTGGCCCTCCTCGCCTCATAAAACACAATCACATACTTTGTTCCATGTTCATTAGACAATCGAAACTTTGTTCAAAAGTCGTCTTTAAATTCCAAAGTTTTCTGGATCTACTGTATCAACCTTCATTTGATTGATAATAATAAAAAACAAGATTCGCTTTCTTTCCTTTTTCAGAGATTCTCTGAGAGCTGTGAGGGTGGCTTCTGCAAACGTGTTGTTTACCTTTCTACAACATCGTTAATTAATTGGAAATAAAAATTAATAAAGAGAAGAAAAAATGAATCAAAAGTTTAAATAAAAAGATCTTTTAATAGATTCTGCTAAGTCGTGTTTTTACGCCAAAAACTGAACAACATCGTTATAAAAGAATTTAGTCTTTACCACAAACTACAATTTTCTAAATCTTTGTAATTTTTTTCATTGTAAACTTTAAATAATTGGGCCAACAATTTGTAAGCAAAAACTAAATTTCTTTTCAATTTTTTCCCAGAAATCAAATAATTAAATAATTAATTAAATAATAATTTATTAATTAATTAATTAATTAATAATTAAATAATTAATAATAAGATAAAGATTGTTTAGAAGTTCTGTTACATAAGCTAAAAAATTTGAACAGTAAGCAGCATTTAGTTTGCGTGCTGACACACACACAATTTTACCAAGACGAATAGTTGTGTTAAAGACGAGATATTGAGCAAAAATTGAAATATGATTTTTAGAAACTTAGGGACGTGAATCCTATATGTTTTTAAGAGCAAATTTTTACTGTTTTAATGTTTTTCCTATAGGTCGACCAATCGTCTTCATCAAATGTTGCTCGATCTGCCATAGAGTGAAGTAGAGGCCATAGGGAGGATTTACAGCAACCTATGTTAACATAGAGTGAAATTGAGACTATAGGACGCATTTACAGTAACCTTTGTAGACAAAGAATGAAATAGAGACTATAGGGAGGATTAACAGCAACCTATGTTAACATAGAGTGAAATAGAGACTATGGGGGGGGGATTTACAGTAACCTATATGAACATAGAGTGAAATAGAGACCATAGTGAGGATTTACAGCTACCTAACAGTATTAACAATATATCATAGCTCTCTGTTATGAATGTTTAAATTTAAAAAAGATAAAATTACTGAAAACGTTCCTATAGAAGTAGAACCTAATACTGGAAAAGGCAATATTTTTCACTCACTTTTGTACATTTGTCACACTTTGCAATAAATAAAAATAAGTTGTATCTCAAATTTAATTTTTCTGTCTGCAGGGAGGATAAAAAAAAGTATGTTACCTCCATATGCTTGTTCTTTGTCTACTTGGCCCAGGTAAACTGGTTGTACCTGTAATTCAAACCAGTTAAAAGTTATGACCACTATATTATTAATATCTTACCAGCTGTTTTAAGTATATGAGCTATCTAGTTTTATCATATCAAAACACTGGCTGTGTATATTTAGAGGTTTGTTTCATAATATAGAATATATCTATGTGATGAATTTTATGGTGTATGTTGTAATTGTATATATTCTATTTGTAATGCTGTATATTCTATATGTAATGCTGTATATACTATATGTAATGCTGTATATACTATATGTAACGCTGTATATACTATATGTAATGCTGTATATCCTATATGTAATGCTGTAAATTCTATATGTAATGCTGTATATTCTATCTGTAATACTGTATATCCTATATGTAATGCTGTATATACTATATGTAATGCTTTATATTCTTCAAAAAGAGAGTCACTTTATATTACATGGACAGTATCAATAAATGGCTCAGTTTGTTTTAAATGATAATTAAGAAAAATGATTAAAAAATTCTCTGAAATGCTTTTTATTCTCTTCTAATCCAGAGAAAGACAAAGAATTTCTATTAAATGTGGAATCTACATTTTTTTCTTTTTAATAAGAAACAAAAAAGTTACAGATATATTTAAATAACTGAAGCAATGTTATTGGATCCTAAAATCAATATTTAACCAAAAATTGTAGTTTTAATCATAGAACTTAGATTTTGAATATTCTCATTATGTTAATAATCTATTCAAATTCTTGTAAGTATTTAAATCTTTACAATTCATAAAAACAAAGAATTTAATATTTCCTGAAAAATGAATAGATTTGAAATTAAGTTTTACTAAATTGTGCAAAAAAATGAATATTTTCTTTAAAAGACTTAATTTATAAAATCTTTAATTCAGACTTTCTTGAGATTAATACATGGCAACTTCCCCGGTCAAAAACAAGGCTGCCTCCCTTTTTAATTCGATTCAAATGATCCTCTGATTTAATAAACTATTTTGTAATCTGTAAATATTCTTATTGTTGATCACTATTATTTACTTCTTTAAATAATAAATCTATTATGATGTATCCTTAAATATTATGTCAGATGTACATGAAAAAATACTTTATAAAGATATGCTAGAATGTGTATATTCAACAATATGCAGTGCACATCTGGGGTTGGAGAAAGAATCGATGTACTCTTTGAACGAAAAGTTAACTCAGCTTTTAAAAAATATTTTAGAATGGTCCTTTTTTCTGTTAAAATAGTTTTAAATGCATCTTTAAAAAATTCCTTAAATGTTTTTCATCCCATTTCAGACAAGCTAAAAAGTTCTTTTTAAATCAAAAATGTTTATTCTTATTGACGCACTTAAAACTTTGAGAGCTTATTTGGAAGTTAACAGTTCGAAAAAGACTAATTTGAACTTCCGTTTTCTCTTTTGAAGCCCAAAATTAGGACTACAATCTACTAGAATTTAAAAAAGAAAATCAAAAAAATTCTTTATCATAATCTTAATAAAAAAGAGTATTTCTGAAATTTTAAATCCGTGAAGTTGTGCACAACACCCCCACCCCTAACCACGGAAAATTGGGGGCGACAACCTCCCCACTGGAGAGGGGGCATATTCAAGCCCATTCAATTTGATTTTTAAGTAGGGATACAAAGAAATTATAAACAATAAAAACTTTTTATCATTAGTTTTGACAACTAATGTGAAACGTGTTGAGGTTTTTTTCTTGTTAAAGATATTAACGAAAACGATTTTTTAAAACGATTATCTTATTTGAATCGTTTTGAATATCTTTGAATATAGAAAATAACTTACATAATAAAATAAAAGCCAACTTATCGAGAATGTAATTATATAATTACTAATATTCTTGATAAACACTTTTAACGTCAAAAAACACGTCCATCCCTATTGTTACTAGGGATGGAAGTGTTACTACTTTTTTTAATAGTTTATTCCGTTCGTTCCCTAGAATGAACAATTGTTCCCTAGAATGAACAATTGTTCCCTAGGAAGAACAATTGTTCCCTAGGAAGAACAATTGTTCCCTAAAAGAACAATTGTTCCCTAGGAAGGACGCCATGACTTTGAACTGGGCGTGTTTTACAATCGTTTGTTCTGTTCGGTTTGTTCCCATGACAGAACGATTGTTCCCCAGGAAATGATGCCCGGCCAGCCCTTCAGCTGAGCGAGTTTTGAAATAGTTCATTGTATTCAGTATGTTCCCGTAACAGAACGATCGTTCCCCAGGAAGGACACCTGCAGCTCTAGTTACCTGCTGGCTAGTGAGAGCTGCAGTAGGAGATGTGTCCTCAGGATCAGGACCAGGGATAGGTTGACCCCTCTGCAACACTGAACCAGCCCAGCCGACCCATTGACCTTGACTTTCGGTCACAACATGAGCCAGGGACCTGGCCCATTCGTCCCTAGACTCAGTTCGTCCAATCGTCCCATTATCTCTCCTGGTGGTGACGAATGGCAGACGAAATGACGTCACAATCAACTCTGAGCTTGACGCTGCCTTTGACATGATTGTCAAATATCTGAAATGGTTCAAAAATTAAAGCTGTGTTAACTAAACATTGAAATCACTGACATCTTCGTTCTAACTTTTAGGAAGAAAATGGCGCTGAAGATATTTCTAATTTGTAATTGATTCATTTTTTAGAATTTAATTGTTAAAAACTTTAAAAATATATACTTTTAACTCTAATTTCTTAATCTCTATATCCACGGTGGATTTTCTTTTTAATGTTCTCTTTTTAATATCCTTGCTGGATTTCAACCAATGTTTACTAATCGATTTTACAAAAGTTTTTTAACAAAGAATGTTTGATTATAATTTTTACTAATGAATATTCTTAAAAATATTTCCTTATGAATGTTTACTAATAAAAAATTACTAATCAATAATTACTCACAAATGTTTATTATTTAATGATTACGAATAAATGGTCACAAGTAAGTGTTTACAAATAAATGTTTTTTATTAAATGTTTACTAATGAATATTCACAAATGCATATTTGCTAACAAATGTTTACGAAAAAAATGTTTACTAATAAATGAAAACTTATAAATGTTTACAAATTAATTTCGCTAATAGCTGTTTGCTGATAATTGTTTGCTAATAAATGTTTACTTGCGAATGATTACTAATAAATGTTTACAAAGAAATGTTTACTCACGATTGTTTACTATCTATTAAATGTATTCTAATAAATATTTCCTAATAAACTTTATTTATGAATGCTTACAAATGAATTTTCACTAATGAATGTTTACTTATAAATGTTAACTAATGAATGTTCACAATTAAAAGTTTTCCAAAAAAGTCCACAAATGAGTGATTTCTAATGAATTTTTGATTAATGCAAAATACATGCTCTTGGAAACAATGTATGCAGAGATTGTCCGTAAAAAATACAAATAAAATTCCTCCTTAGTCCATTATCTCTTTCTTTAAAATACAATAAATTCATGGAAAGCAGGATTTAATTTCTCTTCTCAAACCCTAGTTTTCTAATCTTTATAATTTTGCTAAATGATGTTGTAGACCATTGGTAGTTTAAATTAAATTATGAATTCTGCGTGATCTAATAGTTATCAGATTAAAAAGTTTTAGGGATAATTGAATTAGAGATATGGGCAGTATTCAGTTTCTTAAGCGAAGTTTTACTGGTAGGACTTTGTGACTTCGTTATTTCTCTAGTTTATGTTTTACGCCCAAGACACGGACAGCCATAGTACATTTGAATTTCCGAGCCGGGTCAATCTTTCCGGTCCCAGTTTTGTCCACAGGACTGGCCGGTGCAACAAGGTTGACGCGGTCAGACATTAGGTTGAATTTACTTTTACTAAAGGGTCAAGGGTGCGTTAAGAGTAAAAAAGAGTACCGGGCCGACTTTAGAGAAACACATATAGACTATATAAAGCAAAACTGTACAGTACACCAAAAGAATAAGCTAATAGTTAGACAAATAATATCAGGAATCTTCAAAATATGTATTTTTAACTTTAATAATTTATTTTAATTAAGGGATATGGGTAAAAACTCACGCATACAATAAAACGACAATGAGTAAACCTATTTTCTATTATTTGTATTACTTAAGATTGATTAAAAGACGTGTAACTCAACTTTTTGCGTTGCGCCGTTGTCTTCAATACAAAATATGTATATATTATATTATACTAGGATTCACGACCCTTTTCTCATAAATTGTGTTAAGTTACGCGCCGCCAATGTTTAATTTTCCTCCAGTAATCTAAAAAAACTATTTTTTGGGGATTTTTCTGCTTTCATTGTTGGATTTTCAAACATTGTAAATGTCGACATTTGGGTCAGCAAAAATTAGTGTTTTCGACCAGCTATACATTCTTTTGGAGGTGAGTTGCCACAAAAAATTGGGCCTTTTTGACGTTTAATGACACAAACAGACAAGCAAAGTTTAAAAGTGGAAGATGAAACCCAATAGTTTGGATTCTTTTTAAGAAATGTTTGGCGCTTTTTGGGATAAATCCGAGAAACTATGCCAAAAAGTAATTTATATTCATCCTACTTCTATTTTCTTAAATGTGTAAATATTTTTAACATTTAAAAAAAAACTCGTAAAAACGGTGAATGCAAACAAGAAAAATATACAAATACATAACTGTTAAACATTCTCTCAAAATATGAATAGTACATGACTTGTGAAAACAACACGGATTAATTAAATATAAAATATCGGAAATTAACATTTATCGTAGGTGTACTGTGTTATATAACACAATGAAGAGAAAAAAGTTTTAAAAATTAATAGTAAATTTATGTGCTAAAGATGTTCCGAGTAGTTTCATTGCGGGATATAATTTATAATTAATGTCACGTGTTCACTCATTAGCAAGTATGTACACATGTCTACAAGAAACACATATTATAAGGAAATACTGAATAAAAAAATTAGTTATCGATACAAAACGGACAATTTTAATCGTCATAAGTAATTTTTCACGCATAGAGATATAAAGATATATCACTCTCGGCCGTAGTAAATTTGAATTCGAACAGGACCTGCCCAGTTTGTACCGGCCTGCCAGATAAAAGCGAGATCCTATGACCATATTCCGTACAGTACGTCGCCCTAACCCCTAACCAGACTAATATACGTAATAACTGAAATGATGAATATGTTATGCAGTGAGTAAAAATCAATGTTTTCTATTTGTGCATAATTTTGCATATTTTTTCTCTTTTCATTTGGAAACTTGTATTTTCAAAAAAAAATTTATTTAAACAAATTTAAATGACACCATTTATACATGTATTTATATCTTTGTGTGTGAATAAATCTTTATAATACGACAGGGGTCAATTTTCTTGGCCAATGACCAACCCCACTGGATTAGTCCACGGTGATATTGAGAATTTTGAATCGGGATATTTCTAAGAGGGGGCAGAAAAATTTCTTAGAAATCACGTAATCAATTGAAAAATGAATGATACCTATTCATGAAAAGAAATTTATTTCATCAATTTAAAGAAAATATTAATCTTGAAAATGATATTTTTTTGAATATCTAAAAAGCTTTGCACTGAATTAAAATCTATTTTTTCAAATATTATCTTCGTTTATAATTGAGAAGATTTAAAGTCAGCAGAAATGTCAAGAATATTTCGTAGATTTAGACTTTTCTTATTTAAATATTAAATATCATATTTTAAAGAATAAAAGGCAAAAGTCCTTGAAACAACAAAATCGAAAATGCATTTATCATTTGTCAATTTCAATTCATTTCTTGCATGCAAGTTTTATTATTGATAATTTATTGAAACATATAAGTCTATACAGTATACACCTCCACTTACTTTGTCAATCGATTTCTTTTAAATTTCTTTAAATAAAGTAGTAATCTCGGAACGTACTTTCTGTTTCTTTGTTTGCACATATATATATATCTGATACTAAAGTTTATTTCGACTGTTGACTTTACATAGATAAACACATAAACACATATGCTGAGTATAGGGGCTGGAAAGCTGAACTGAAGCAAGGAATATATATATATATATATATATAGATGATAAGTATTTAAGGATTGTTGCTAAGGAAAGAGAAGATGTATGTCTCAAGGAGACAAAGGTCACGAGTTTAAAATGAAATACTACAATTGGAAAAAAGTCACGTTTTATTCTTTTTACATTGATAGATATCCAAAAAATTTTAAATCGTCACATTTTCCTGAAAAAGTCTTCAACTCTGACCTCGGAAGAAACCAAAATATATGGTCTATGTGTGTGTAACCGGTTTGACATTTATTGGATACTAGCTGAAGTGCCTGGCGTTGCCGGTGAATTTTAAATCGATTTTTGAAAACAAAATTATTTAACAAATAATTTTGAATTTTGAAGATAAAAATCAATTTTTAGCCTATCCCCACGGTGACCATGGTTTCCCTCTAAGAATGTTGGCCAATTTGTCTCAGCCGTTTGGCCGGCCATAGCTAATAAATTTACAAATATAAAAAATATAAATGTGAGCAAAGACAAAAACAAACAAAATTAAAATAAAGAAACAATTTCCTGAACCTAGATATTGAGTATGAAGAAAGATATACTTTAGTGGTCAGGGTTTGTATCAAGAGAATGAAGACAACTTTTCTCTAAAATTTATTTTTGATTTTCAAATTACAAGTTAACAAGGAAACAAAGAAAAACCTTTAATTGACAGCTTTTATCGAGTCACGGAAGTTCGTAATAAGATTTGACTCCACTGGAGACCACCGGAGGGAATTCATTTCCACTGGAGGGGTTTGAAAAAATGCTTTTTACAATGTAAAACTTTACTGGAGGGATTCAGATATTTTTCCAGGGGGTTTACAATTGCACTGTAGGGATTCAGTTATCCTTCCAAGGGGTTTATAATTCCACTGGAGGGATTCAGATATCTTTCTTGGGGGTTTATAATTCCACTGGATGGAAGGATTCCTTGTGTATTATAATTCCATCAATTATAGGAAGGATATCTGAATACCTCCAGTGGTTTTATAAACCACCTGGAAGGATATCTGAATCCCTCCAGTGGAATTGCAAACCCCCCTGGAAGGATATCTGAATCCCTCCAGTGGAATTATAAACGCAAAGGAAGGATATCTGAATCCCTCCAGTGGAATTATAACCCCCCTGGAAAGATTTTTGAATCCCTCCCATAGAATTATAAACCCCTTGGAAATATATCTGAATCCCTCCAGTGGATTTATAAACCCCCTAGATAGATATCTGAGTGCCTCCAGTGGAATTTTAAACACATGGGAATGATATCTGAATCCCTCCAGTGGATTTATAAACCCCCTGGAAATATATCTGAATCCCTCCAGTGGAATTATTAATCCCTAAGAATGATATCTAAATCTCTCAGGTGGAATTATAAACCCCTTGGAAGGATATCTGAATCCCTCCAATGGAATTATAAACCCCTAGGAAGGATATCTGAATCCCTCCAGTGGATTTATAAACCCCATGGAAAGATTTCTGAATCCCTCCAGTGGAATTATAAACCCCCTGGAAAGATATCTGAATCCCTCCAGCAGAATTATTACCCCTAGGAAGGATATCTGAATCCCTCCAGGGGATTTAAAACCCCCCTGAAAAGATTTCTGAATCCCTCCAGTGGATTTATAAACCCCCAGGAAAGATATTTGAATCCCTCCAGTGGAATGTAAATCACCCTGTGTAAAGTTTTAAATTGTAAAAAGCATTTTTTAAAAACCCTGTGTAAAGTTTTAAATTGTAAAAAGCATTTTTCTACCCCCCCCCCCCCCCCTCCAGTGAAAATAAAATCCCTCCGGTGGTCTCCAGTGGAATCGAAATCTTACTACGAACTTCTTTGAGTCGCTTTTATCAGGTTTATGTGTATCCGTGCTGCCATGCAAGCAGTCTGAAAGTTTAGAAATCAATTAATGAAATCGACAGTCGTCTTCATTGTATTGATGATATATAGGACGACAACTGTATCTTAATTGCATTAAAAATTTTGCTTCAATGTAATTCGTTACAAAAAATGGTTTTATTTATTTGAAACAAAATTGTAAGGGGCCAAGTTTCGTAACTTTTTTCGAGCTAATAATGTAGAACATTTAATTTTCCAATCCAACAGGAAACTAAATTTAAATTTTTTTCAATTTTCTTTAACCTAATCTCCACATTAGAACTTCAATTATCAAGAATACGACTTCAATTTTCTAAACCGGATCGACTTATCTAAACCCCTTTGGCGTAGCTCAGTTACATTTGCATTAGCTTGGAATTAGGGTTAAACTTGCCATAATTACACTTGCTATAATTACTTATGTCAAAATTTTCTTTTTTCTGTCGTTTTTCTTTGTAAATGCGGGAAATTTACTCATGAAAATTCCAAACTTTATTTTTCTCATTGTTTTAATACAGAACAGTTGACGTAAGCTAAATTCCATATTTTCTCAATGGGGACCCTTTGATGACCTTTGAGACCAGGAGCAAGGGTAAACCAATCCTGGAACAGAACCTGACATCAAGAAATGGGTACAAACCCCAACATGTGAAATATCACACAAGGTTTTGTCAATCAAGAGTCGGAGACAAAACGTATCCTAATCTCCAATGCTGCAGGGAGGGATATGAACATAAATACGCGGGGAAAAAGAACTTATGAGAGGATTGAAAACATTGTCCGACAGTACAATACTCTTCCTTAATCTGATAGCTCATGAACTGTCTCTAAAATAGATTTGTTGACAAATTTAATTGTAGGTTGTAACTATAAAAAAGATATATATGTTTGATAATTCTAACTAAATTTAATTTTAATTATGGTAAGTGTATTTATGGAAAGTGTAACTGAGCCTATGGCTTTTGGTTTCAATTACATTACTAACCCACTTTGAACTTACTTCTTAGCTTTACCCGTTTTCATCTCCATTCACTTAGACATTTGATACTGTTACTTTAGAAAAAAATATTTGAAAAACATAAAAGATATCAATGCTAAATAACGTTTAGCTTAATGTGTGACTGTATTGTCCCAGTGTGTTCCCTAAATTCCAAAAAATTATGTCTAAATGTAACTGAGCCTACTTTATCATATATTCTACAGGCAAAGCACAGTGGTTTAGTAAACCCCAAATGTCAACAAAATTAACTCAAATAATACAAACTTGGTGTTTTGGGGGTTGCAATTTTTAAATAAAATTTCGACTGCGCACGAACACAAAAATTGCAAATTTAAATAAAATGATTGTTGAATGTCTATTCCAGATAATTAAAATTTGCAGATAATTAGTTTAACGCTTTAAGCACGTCTGCTCTAACATTTTCACAATATTTTTGAAATAACACTCTTTGAAGGATAAAAAAATAAATAAATAAATTTAAAAAAAACTGCCAAAAACTGTGAAAATGCCTGAAACAAACTTTTTAAAACATATTTTAAAACAAGATTCTCCCACATTTCTTTCTGGGTCGTTGGAAGAATAAGAACAAAAAAGTTGTGAAACACGTTTTTTGCTTTGAAAAAGTTTAAGCTTCAATCTGAAAAAAGATTAAAAAATGAATAAATTCAAGTTTGTTTGTGAGTTTATATTTGTACTTTATCTTATGCGAAAGAGAAAACAATTTAGAAATTGAAATATTTTGTTTTAAAACTAGATAATTTTGCATTGAAGTGTTTTATGAAATGAAGTGAAATAACACATTATGTAAGTTTTAAAATACATTTATAACTGCATTTAAAAGAATTTTAAAGGTTTTGTAACCGTAATTTTAAGTTACTCTCCATGCAAAGATGGCAATGACCGATTCACAAAAATACCCTTGGAATCTTAATCTGTTCTATAATGTGGAAGACACGTCGTCTTTCTTGAAACTTTTCCATTATAAACAAGAAATGGACAAGTCACTTTTGCAGAGAAACCGCGTAAATAAAAAACGTAAATTAACAGTTGAAAGAAACCAAAATATCTTTTCATGTAGGATAAATGTACGCTTGCAGTTCCAAATTTTATATTTTATCAAATTGTATTACATTAATATTTTATCAATTTCACAATATTATATATTTTAAATAGAATTAAATTTTAGTCTTCAACTGTTTCCAGTGAAATATCGTTTTTATTTAATTTCTAATGAAAAGTTTTTAGTCTTATTTGTTTGGGGTGGGGCACGGTGGGGTATTTTAGGGGGTCAGGGGGAGGGAGCTGGTTTTTGACACAAAACTCCTCTTAAAATTATCTTCTGTTTCATGGTGAGAATGGACAAAATAATTATCTTCTGTTTCATGGTGAGAATGGACAAAATAAATATATTCTGTTTCATGTTGAGATCGAATGGACAAAATAAATATATTCTGATAATCTTTTCATTTACAAACATTGTTTGAATTGTAGCTTATCATTAATTTATAATGATTTTAATTTAAAATTTCTTTTCCCGTTCATACAGTTATCCTTGAATGGATCCTGTAAACCTGCAATATAATTAGAATGTCGTCTTTGTTAAAGCGAAATATTTCGGGGAAAAACAGAATTTACTGACAAGAGTAAGGTCTTAAGGACAACGATAATTGTTTGAAACAAGTATGATGAAGTGATAACCAGAAAACTCTGGAATAGGAAGCTGACTTTTAGACTCAAGTCATGACTTTAAATAATCTAATCAACATCAGACACATCAATTATCCACAAGGGCGTACACAGGATTTTAGCAATTTATGTGAAAGAGAAATACTAATAATGATAAATTTGAAAATAAATAAAATTACTTTTTAGGAGGAAAACATCTCTTTTTCAGATGGGGGCAAGCTCATTTTGACCTACCCCCTGAAAACGTATCCACCCCCAAACTAGGAGTTTTGTAC